CCCAGACACCATCACTGTGGAAACAGAATTGCAGGATTGTTTGCTACCCTGTAGTCTAATACATAATTCATGGTGCTGCTGCTGCAAACCCAGAATTCACTGGTCAGCAACCTGTACAAGTGAAACATCTTTCACACTCAACTTCTCAATCTTTGCCTTACTCTGGTTTACTACCTCAGACGTGGTATTTGCATCCCTCCTGTAACAGTAAGGAAGTATAATACCCACCATCAGGTTATAAAGAGTAGTTATTGGTGAAGTTTATCTGGTACACTGAGAAACAGCTCAAGAAGATCATAAGCTGCTGCTCTTAAGCATTCAGGTAATTTTATTTCCTTCTCACACTTACTACTACAATAAATTAATCTGAATAGTAAACAAACTGCTGCTTAGCAAACCTAAAAACGCAACCAAGAACACTCACCTTCATTTTTAAATGAAATAATCATGGGAGAGTAATCCACCAAGCAAGGCAGCTCATTACAACCTGACCCAGTCTGTGCTACACAGCCATCTACACTGCAGGTAGTTTTTCCTGCAAGTCTATCAGACTCGTGTTGTGCGAAGTTATAACATGAGATCCAGCAGAAAGTAATCTCTGAACAAAGCACAAAAGCCCTGGCCAGAGCACTGAACCTTTTCTAGTGGATTAGTACTTCTGAAAACTGTCATACACTGAACTCTGTAGCACCTACATCTCCCATCAACATAAGAGCACCTCTTAGCTAAGAGTTTCTTGCAATTTAAACTTTTATTTTGAGAGAAGTGTATATAGCCTTTGTATAATTAAGAAAATACCTGTCATATTTTTCAGAAAGACAAGAAGGTCTCTTCTTAGAGTAGGGACGCTCTTTAATATCAAGCAGTTCCTCCTAGAAAAAGAAATAAATCAAGACATTAGTTCCAGTTCTCATCCAGACAACATTTAAGTGACTCAAACTGTCTATTCCAGACTGCCTGTTCAACGCAGTGTTGCAACTGGACAACCCCAGTTTCACAACATGTTGTTTCATATTCTGTGAATTACTGCAGTGAAAGTTTCTGTTTCAGTTCTCTTTCAGTGGCCACTGACCAAACACTTATTTGGAGCACTGATCCTTACTAGGTCAGGTTCAGTCCTTGGGAACACTCCCAGGCTGTTCACACCATATATGTTTACATATTCACTTCCCTGGACAGCTCAGCTTATAAGCAAGACAGGCATCACAGACACTGGAGCTGCTGAGCTCTCAAGGAGGAATCAAAATTGCTGTGTTTAATGTTCAGCAGGTAAAAAAGCATTGCCACAATACCAGTTCACTGGAAATTCCAGACAAACTCGCCATTTCTGACCATCACCAATTCCAAGATTACCGGAATGTATCTTGTACAATTACCCATTCCACTCAACACCAAATCAATGCTGAAAGATGACTTGTTTTCCCACTTTGTACCAGCTTTCAAACAGTCTTTGGTTTACCATGGCACACCCTGAGTCAGTCGTTTGACTGGCAATCAATCCAGAGTTTGCTACACTTGAAAAGAATTATTATTGATGTGATCATCAGTGCTTTAAATCATCATTAACTTGGCTGCAATCAAGATCCACATTTCTAATTAGACTTACTCCTTCTCCCTAGATTAAGTTCCCTCAATCTGCCTTCCCTCCCAGCTGTACTGAACTGATTCACAACTGTGCAGAAATCAGTAGCAGCTGGAAGGATAAAGAAATCCTAACAGCAGACACATCAGCCAAACTGAAGGAAATCTCTTTACCTTTTCCCCCCAAGAATACAACATCCTCTAGAGCTTTTACATCATTATCCCCATGTGATTAAAATCAGTTCATTAACTATGCGAGCTTGATACTTGAAAGTTTCCAGATGGCAGTTTGGCAGCTGGATAAAACCTACATATACACATTCAAGCATCATCTTGTACCAGCCTTCAGCAAAAAGAGCTCCATTAAAGGGAGGAACACTGCCCTCCCTGCCCACAAGCTTCCCAAAATAAACCTCAATCTGTGAGTAACATCAGTGCTGTAATACTATCACAGCCTGGTGCAGATACTACAAGTATTAACAGCCCTGTCCATCACCACATCGGGAATGGGCTGTTCCTCTGGCCACGAGAGGGAGTCCACAGGCTCTCAATCACATCCTATCACAATCCTTCATTCAAGTGAGGAAAATTTGAATTGTTTCTTGGCTTTTGCTCATTAGCTGTGCACTCGTGGAGCAACAGCTTCCCACGAGCTAGAAAAGACAAGGCTTGGACTACCCAGAGTGGTGCAGCAGTCCACTCCTGGAACAGAGGAGATGAAGGCTGGCACTTCCAGAGTGTGGTGTTGGTGGGTTCTTGTTTAATTCACACACTAGTATGTTTAAGTAGGTGGGTGAAAAGAATGTTTAACTGTTAGTAAACAGTTTTAATCAAACATCTGAGAACTACTCACAGTATGAGCCAATTGTTTTCCTACTGGCAGTAAGTGAATATAAACCACTAAAGGAAATCAGTCCCCTTTCCAAATCAGCAGCACAAAACAGTGCTCCCAAAACAGTGTCCCCTCAATCCCTAATTAGTAGGAAACTGGAACATCTGAAAATGCCTTACAATACTGATTACATGAGCACCTTAAACCAGCTATATTTAACCTGTTACACGTAAAAGAACCATAATATGAGGAAAGATATTTCAACACAGGCTGATTTCTGATATTTCTTGATTTAGACTCCTTGGAAACCAACAGGTAAACAAGACTAGACACCTTCTGGCACTAGTTCTGCAACTTCATCCTGATCAGAAACGACAGGTACTGAATTAACAAAACTGATGCTAAAAATACATTGGTTTCAGTGCACAGCCACCACTAGCACCAGCTGAATGCTGCCCAAAAAGCAGGATTTGAAGCTACATTCAGTTACTACTCTTGAGAGGAACTGGGCAGGACAGAACAAGTATAGATACCACTTTTTCAACAGGGAAAGTTTAAAAACAGCTCCTCTCCTTCACTTAAACTGAATAGCAAGGCCTGAAGAAAAGTATACTTTACATCCTCAAAGGTTAAGTGCCCATCTTCTCTAAGAAGTTCGAGAATCAGAAAGCCATGCCATTCCCATGAAGTTTTGCCAGTTCTGAAGTACGTGGTTTATTGTTGATGTCTAGTTAAAATAAGCCAGAGCTCCACTATCTCAACAGAACAGGGCCACAATGATAATTTTTTTTTTCTTTTAAAAAACAACCTACCAGGAAACCAACAGCTCTGAATTCCTCAAGTAAGATAACAGTCAGCAACAGTAAACTGTCTCACCCTGTTCCACACTTCAGGCCATTTGCTGTAAAGTATCTTAACAGATTTCCACAAAGCAATGACCACCTGTTCCCACAGCTTGCAGCCACAGGAAAACCAGCCCCCATTACAGACTCTTTCCAAAGGCAGTTTTCAACAGTGGTACCAGAACCCCAAACAAGATTTGAGCCCTAAACATAGTACATCAAACTTACTCAGTACTGAAATAATCTTTAACTGCGAGTTATTTAGTCATTGTTCTTCCACTCACACACATATTTAGGTACCACAGTTAAACAAAAGCACCCGTGCTCAAGTTTTAACACTAAGCACTGGTTGGAGTCATAACTGCTTAAGCTTCCAGTGGCCAAATATGAACAATTCTAAGGTTACAGAAGGCATCCAGTAAACATGTTAGAGCTCCTGATAAGATCTCGTGTGCTACACCTTCCTAGGAAGTGGCACCTACTGCAAGGAAACATTTTGGTCAACCTCTTAAAGGAACTCTGCTGAAAGCAGAACTAGAACTGTGAAGTTCAAGTGCTTGAGAGAGCTGGTAGAACAACATACTCCAGTCTCTACCATTACCTCAGCACATGCTTTGGGGTGCTCAGATATTGAAATGAGGTGGTGGGAATCAAGAAGTATCTCGAGGACAGGATTGCACAGCGACATCACATTTAACAAGCTGCTCGTTTTACACCACCTTGCAAATCCTAATCCAGGCAAAGGCTTTTCAGCTTTCACCTCACTGCTTCCCTCTTACAGAACCTCCACCTCCCACTCTACTTCTGTGGCCAAGAGCTCCACACACAACTCAGGGAGGAAAGGGGAGCTGACCTTAGTGTAACGATGTGGGTATTTGGTTGGGATTCTGTTCAGCTCCAGGAAAGCATCGCCATTTTCCGTTTCTGTTACACCTCCTCTTTTATCCATGGTTACTTCAAAGCCTTTGACCACGGAGCTAATTAAAACAAAACCAAGCCGTCAGATTTGGACCCCTGCGGTTCTGGAGGGAGCGTTTTCCCTCCAGCCCGAGCCAGTTCGGCACTCGGGCACCGCAGGGAAGCGCCGGGCTCCCCAAGAGCGCCCGTTCCTGGCCGGTACCGCCCCCCGCCCCGTCCCGGCGGCTCCGGCTGGAGGGTCCGACCCGCTCCCGCAGCCCGGCCTGGGAGCTCCAACACCGCAAACCCCGCTCCGGGGGCACGGCCGGGCCGCGGGGCCGCCGGACCCGCCTCCCCACCCGCCTCCCGGGCCCCGCCGGGCTCGGGCTCCGCTCGCCCCGCGGCGCGGGGGCAGCGCGGCCCAGGCGCCGTCCCGAGGCACGGGAGCCGCGCGGGAGTTGGGCGGCGGCGGCAGCGGGGCAGGTGACTCAGCGGATCCCCGCCCGCCCGCCCGCACTCACCGGCGGGCGTCCCGCGCCGCTCCGCTCCGCTCCAGGCCTCACCGCCGCCCGCGGCGCTTCCTGCTCCGGCCGCCGGCCCCGCTCCGCCGCCCGCCCGCCCGGTCCCCGCTGAGGGGCCGCGCGCGCCGCGGGTCGGCCCCGACGCCCCCCCCCCGCACAGCCCCGGCCCCCGCGTACCCCGCGCGCCGCTCCCGCTCCGCCCGGCGCCGCCTCCGCTCAGCCGCCGTAGCCGGGGCCTCGCGCCACCCGCCCCGCACCCATTTAACGCCCCGCGCGCAGGCGCGGCGCGCGCGCGCGCGGCCCGGGGGCTCCCCCGCCCGGCGCCTGAGAGGGGAGCGGGCGGGGAGGGCCGCGGCCCCCACAGGGAGCCCCCGCCGCGGGCCGCCCGCGGCACCGGCGTCTCACCTCGCGAGCGGCGCGGCGGGTGAGGAGTGACGCGGGGCGCGGCGAGGGCCCGCAGGCAGTCTGGGCGGGCAGCCCTGCGGGGCGGGCGGCCGGCGGGGCGCGGGGAGAGCCATGTGCGGAGCGGCGGCACCGGACGGGCCCCGATCCCGTCCCGGTGCCTGTCCCCGATCCCGTCCCGGTCCCCCTCAGGAGCGCGGGAAGCGGCGGCGGGGCGCGCGCGGCCCCTCACGGCCATGGCGGGCGGGCGGTGACAGCGCGCTCGGCGGGCGCTCCCCTCTCTCCGCGCGGGCTCGGGGGGTTCCCCGGCACTGCCCTGACGTCCCACCGTGCCCGCGGGTGACAGGGCCGGCCTGGCCGAGCCCGCACTGCTGCCCAGCCCGCCCCGGCCCCCCGCGCCACAGCCGTGTGAGCGCAGCGCCCCGGTGCTCCCAGCCGGTGCTCCCAACCAGCTGTTACCCGACCCTGCCGGGTGCGGGTCTGGCATTCCCGGGGGACAGCGGGACGGAGGGTGATGCAGTGAGCGTGGCAGCTGCTTCGGAGACACCGGACAAAGCCTTTCGTGGTTGGCAGTGATGACCAGACGTTGTTCTCGACATGACTTTTAGGAATTTAGTGAGCGAGATTGCCGGCTCCGTGTGCCCGCGGCTCTGCCCTCAGCATTCCCATCCCTGCGGCCACAGGAGCCCAGCGGGGACCCGGAGCTTCCAAACACCTTGGGCAGAGAGGGCTATGTAGGACCAAGGAATTTCTTGTAGGATCTGGTGAATAAAGTGTTTTCTTCCCGGATCTTTAATGAAAGTTGAATGCCAGCATTAAAAGCTGTAAAGAATGAGACAGAAACAAACAAGAAGTAGCTATTTCTCACTTTTCTTCTTCCACGACAAAGTGGTGCATTATAAATGAGACAGCACTGCAACAATTGCCTAGTCTCCCCGGGCCAGCTTGCTTTCCAAACAAACACACGGCGAGACTCGATGGCAACCAGCAGGCCGCCAGTCTGTGGCTCAGTGGTTGTTACGAGGTGCTGTGGCTTTGAGAGGCCCTGATCCGTGTTGTGTTCCGCTATTCACGTGGCTGTTATGAGCTGAATCGCTGCTCTGTTGGCTCCCAAAGGCACACCTGCCGCGGGTGCTGGACACTGGACGCTCCCAGCAGGAAAGCCCGCTGGCACAGAAATGTCAGGACACTGTTTTTCCCTCACGAGTCCGAGCGGCAGCTTCCCCTGCCCGTGCTCGGTGTATCCCGGGCGCTCCGGGGCCGTTCGCGCCCCGCCCGCCGCCAGGGGGCGCTGCGGCGGCGCCGCCCGGCTGAGGGCGGGGAGCGCCCGCCCCTCACGGCGGGGCCGCCTCAGGCTCCTCCCGCTCCTCCCGCTCCTCCCGCTCCTCCCGCTCCTCCCGCTCCTCCCGCTCCTGTACCCCTTGGAGGCGGCTCCGTTGGGACGGGTGGAGCTTCTTCTGCTGCCCGTTGGCTCCGTGTGCCCGGTCCTGCTCCGCTCGCCCCGCGGTCCGTAGCGCTCTCAGCGGGGTGGGAGGCGGGAGTTCCGCCCTCGGCCCCAAGCCCCTCACGGCGGGGCTGCGGAGTGTGGGTGTCGAGTGTTCGGCACAAAAATTCGGGGTATAATTATCTGCTGAAAGGAATTTCGTGCAGAAAAACCGCGGAAAAATTTTGTGGGTTTTTTTTGTTTTGTTTTGTTTTGTTTTTGTTGGTTGGTTGGTTGTTTTGGTGTTGGTTTGTTTGTTGTATGTTTTTGTTTGTTTTGGGAGTTTTAGGTTTTGTTTGTTTTGGTTTGGGTTCTGTTTGGCTTTCTTTCTGTCACGCCTTAAGCCAGGCTTATAGAAATACCCCCTTGAGATCTCACACTTACAAGGAGATGCCTGTCCATAAGTCCCGGTGCTTTCCCAGCCTCTGACTCCCCGTGAGGCCTTTGGAAGGCACAGGGTTCTGTGCACACAGAATTTCTCCCTGGAGTTCATTGTTTTCTTCATTTCTGTGTGCTTACGAAGGAGAGAAGCTTAGTGTTAAAAAAAAAAAGTGAAAAGGAATTTGGTTAGCTCCTGATTGTGTCACCCTTGCTTATTAATTTGTTTTTAAATAGGGGAACATAACTTAGAGTCATCCTTTTGTAGCACCTTTCTAGCACAGCTTCGTTGTAGGTAGGCACAGTTGTTGCCTTAGGATTCAAATGGTTGTAACTTCCTTACCATTAGATTTTGTCAGCACATCTCAGGGCATCAAGGGTAGGACACAAACACTTTTCATGTTGAACAGTTGGAATTGCATTGTGCTGTTTGTGTGCAGGTCACCTGAGTGGAATTCATGTCTTTAAGATACTGCATTTAGCACAGATCCATTTGATGGATTCATTACAAGTAACAGGCACCAATTTATGCTTTGTCCAAAGCTGAGAGACAGCACAGCAGAACAGAGAGTGAATTTGTGCACTGCAGGCTTGGAACTACAGCGAAATGGAGAAAGTCAGGAGCAGGTAAGCAGTAAGAAGAAGCTACCATGTTAAAAGACCTCAGCTGTAATTTATTTTTATTTTTAAATTATGGCATCTTCGGCTTTCCATGGGACAGAAGAAAGTTCAGTTATTCTCATAGGAGGCCTTAGTGGTCTCTATGGAATGCTTGCCTAAAAGCAAAATGAAATGAAATGAACAACAAACACCCCACTCCCAAACCCATCATGGAACACAACTTTATGGGGGTTTAAATTATCATAACATTTAAACATAAAAATAATGTTCTTGACTGGAACACATTTGAACATACTTGTTGGCTCAACAACAGATTAATCTGTGGTGTCAGCTCTCTTATTCTTCCCATGCTTTCATTTTCTAACTTCACAAGGGAGAAATGATCCATCTTTGACTCTTATTTTACATAGTTGCCATAACTTCTCATGGATGTAGGCTGTCATCACTAAATATGTGCAGCACGTACAATGTTTCAAATTTAGGAAAAACGTTAGATTTTCACATTCCTGAGACTTCAATAGAAAACTTCTGCCTGTTTTACCCAAGCTTGACATTTTTGACTCCTTTGTGTGACGTTGCCATCGCGTACGGTCAGATCAGGTTTGCCTTTGGAGCAGATGAAACAGTTTTCAAGGGAGTTGGCCCTAATAGGTGTGCAGGAACCTTGTGCATATTTAGCTGAACTTCTGGGACTTGCATTGTTCCCATCACTCTGTGAAACCACCATTTTTTTCTGGCTGCAGCCGTGTTTTCCCCAGCTCAGTTCAGGTGATTATTAGGGTGACTTTTCAGACTACCCTCTTCTGTTGTCTCTTCTGGAGCTCAAGAATGTGTTTGTAGTTCTAATGTGCAAATTCTCAGGGTGGTGGCAGTATTTATTTCAGGAAAGAAGCTTCAATACAACTGGTTCAGCAAGTTTCATCTGGTTAGAGGTGTTTTTTATCCTTGTTTTCAGAAAATTACCAAGACAAAATACTTAGAATTCATAAGAACACACGTGTTATTTTTTCAGATTTCACATGTGAAAGCAAACTGTGTGATGGAAAAATATGTCTAGTTTTATTTTTTAACGATGAATATGTAAAAACAGGAAGAGATTTTTAGGGGTTTTTTTGAGGAGGAACATATTTACTTAAAATATGACTGAAATTAGGAAAAAGTTGCTTGTGAAAGAACATTTCATGTTAAAATGGAAAATTCTAACTTCAGTTCCCAAGTCCTCAAGAGAATTCTTCAGCAATAGATATGTTTGAGAATAAAAGGCAGAAAACCACGTTCAGATCTTCTCTATAAGGACACCTTGTTTGCACACACACGGGAGGGGAAGCACAAATGCATTTTAGTGCTTTTTCATTTCAGCTTTAGAGGAGAAAAGAATTGTGTGTGACATGATTGCAGTGAAATGTGTCTTTCTGCTTGTGTTGGGGAAACTTTAACATTAAAACTCCAGATAGTGAAAAACGTCTGATAAAGAGACAATAAGTGTTTTAGTGTTTTGTAGCTGTTCTGTGTGTGACTGGATACCTTTGTTATAGATCAATTTATTGAAGTAATGCCATTTCTTTACCGTTAATGTGATTTTACACAAAATATTTCTCCTTTCCTTTTAAGTTCAAAATCCCTGAAGATGCAGGAAATCCAACAGCCAGCTGGGCATCAAGTCCATGCAAGTGGCCAGTCTGTTGCTCCCCACTCTGCCAGACATGAATTCCAGGACAGAGGCCATGACAATCCGAGCAGAGTTGGGTGTGCCCAGAATCAAAGAAGAAGGTTAAAAAAATTCCGGACCAGGTGATAAGTACAAAACATATTTTTCTCTGAACGGAGCTAGAAAAGTCTGGTTTTAGTAGTACCAGTGCAGGCTGAGGCAGAAGTTTTTGCTCATGGCCATGCCAGACAGTTCTGAAGATGTCTTGTGGTAACTTGAGGACAAGCATTGGCACAGTCGGATTTCCCATATATTTTATTTTCTAATGCAACGTTTAAAAAAGGCTGTTTAACAGTATTCTGTGATACACTGCCAGGTGAAATGGTTTCCTCTTGCTCTCCTCTAGTGTTTTTTTACTTCTTTTGTTTGTTGAAAGAATCTTGACAAAGGTGGGATGCAATTGTTTAGAGATTAAAGCCTATTATTTGTTGAGCAACTGGAGCAGCTCAGACCTGCTGAAAGAGAGAGGCCCCGTTCACGGCTGTGCTTTAATTAACTTGTGAGGCCTTTGGTGCTTATTGGGGCCCTCCGTGTGCCAATTAACTCTTAAATCCACCGGAAAGAAAAGGGGGGAAGGTTACAGTGTCACAGCAACACATTAGTGAGCTGAGGGTGCGGAACTGCTGGGGGGGAGGTGGGAACAAGGAAGATCTGGTTGCAGGCAGAGCTAAACATTAAACTGGCTCAAGTATGGACTCAGCTGGTTGACTTTGAGAGAAACAGTGATGTTACCACTTCTAAATCCCGGTTAGCCAGCACCCTGCTCAGTGGTGCCACTGGGTGTAAGTGGAAAATGTTTTGGCTACTGAGCTTTCCTAAAGCATGTCCCATTTAAAGCCTTGCAATGATGCCTGGGCCTCTGTTTATGCCTGATGAATTGTTCTGTTGCAGATATGATCTCTGAAAACCAAACCCTTTGTTTTATTACTGAAACTAAAATAAAAGTTCCTATTTTTACTGCTGCCTGGGAATTTGCAGAGGAGGAGTACAAAGGCAACTAACCTTTCCTTATATTCCAGACATCTAGCAAGGAAATTCTTCTATCTGTGGGCAAAAATGACATTTGGACAAGTTCTCCCTTCCAAAGCCAGGTAGATAAAATTACAGAACTCAAGGGTGGGTTTGTTTTCTTTTTTTTTTTTAATGGCTTACTGGTAAACCATTGGGCTAAGAGAGTTCTGCCTGCCAAGAAAGTATCTGGATGTAGTTTGAGATCACTTGAAGGTTTCCTTTAAGTACCCTTCTTGCTCTTGCTTTTTCCTTTAACAATCATGGTAAAACTTTACTAACTGAATTCATAGGAATTGTGGTGTCTCAATGAAGTTGAACTGTATGTGCATATAACTGATGGGGTATGATTGTGATTCCTGCTTTAAATTTGACCATTTCTCAAAGGTATGATGAGAGAGATCTGAAAATTCAGTTCATTATACTGTTTGCACTGTTCTTAATGTGCATGTTTGGTGTCTGGCTGACTTGGAAATACCTGTGGCAGACAATCCCTTTCTGTTGTTAGTGTTGTGTGAGCTGCTGAAACCCAAGGCTTTGATACTCTTTTCTTGGCTTGCTTTAATTTGCATGTTCATTCTTGCTTGTCCGCACCCTTGGGAACTGGAGCAATTCCCAGTGGGAAGAGCTGCATTTGGGATAAAATCAGGCTCTTAGTGATTCAGTTTCATTGCACTGTTTCAAATCTATTCTAGTTTTGCCTTAGTTGGTAAATGGAAGTTGCCCTGTGAACCTCCCTGTCCTTGATGTCCCATCTACTGCACTGGCAGTACTTTGGCTGCCTATAAATTCAGGACAATGATTATTTGATATTTTTTTTTAGAAGTGGAAATACATTTTATAAAGATCATCAAGGAACATAAGCAACAATTAATGGCCTTTTTAGATTTAGAAATCCCTAGTTCTCCACAGCTTCTATTTGCAATGTTCTGTTTGTTAATGCACCAAGTCCAAAAAAATAACATAGCTCATTTCTTCTTTCTTTCTTTTTTTTTATTTTTCCTTTTCTGCTTGAGTGTTTGGAATGACTTAGCAGCTTGGCTTGGGGTAGGTGGCTGTGAACTGCACCTTGGGAGAGGATTGATATGTGTTCACCAAGGGACCTCTTGGTATTCTGGGCCTAATCCTGCTGTTATTGACGTGACCGATTTCATGGAGCTGGTGGGATAGTTATGATCAAAAGTGTCAGGCTGGGCTTGTGTGCTTTTTGTTTGTTAGCTTGTGTGTTTTCATGGTTCCTTCTCTTTACCTTCTCTCCATCAGAAATACAAAGAGGTGAGAAATAGTTTGAAAGGATTCATACTCCAGTTGATGAGATTTTATGTTCTTAGGTTGCTGCTCAGGTCATCTTGACCACATGGAAAAGTGTTGGAATATTAGATTATGACCATTATTTTTAGTTAGGTGAGCAAAATCCCAATTCCTGCATGCAGATCTTCCCATATTTGAATTTTTAGTTGTTCACAATTCAGTTGAAATGTGCCATCACTTCTTACCTAGCCAGGTGTGTGATAATTAAATCTGGGTATAAAAACAGAGACTGTTCTGCTAAAGTTAAAGAATTTGAAGGTCATATGTAACTTGTGACTCCATTTTGAGCATGGCTCAGCACCCATTGGAAAGAGCAGGTCCATGAACAGATGAACAGCTTCATTTTTAGCACAGGTGATGTGCAACTGGCTGAAGGAGCTCCTGAGCCTATTTAAGTGTTCTTTGGGAAGATTTTAAATTTGCTGTTTCTGAAACACAATGGAAACATCAAAGCATTATAAAATCTGATGTAGGTTTTGCGTTCGTTTCCATACATAAAATATTTTGTTTTAAAATAGCAAAGAACAAAGCTAACAAGGAAAATACATGTACTGTTATTAACTATCCTGGCTGGTTGAGTAAAACGCTGAACTGGGGATAAAATATGCAAGTTATTCATGTGTCCAAAGTCAACTGGCCCTCAGATATTTTGCAAGTTACCAACATCTGTCTTATTTCTTGCCTTTATGTCAGTAAACTGAGTGGTTCTTGTCATATTCACAGTCTTGGAATAAAGTGTCATAGTGGAGTAGTGGTTTTAAATGCAGTTAGGTGTTGTTAGGCTAAGCAGGCAAGGCTGGAGAAGAGGTACTGTAATCTTCATTAAAAGTGATTTGTGGTCACTCTGGAAACCTGTGTGAAGTTTCCCATGTCCAAATCTTTCAACTGTTTAGATCCTTTTATGAGCAGAAGATTCTTCAAAAAACTTTTGGCCAGTGGAAGGAGTGGTGGAGAGTTTGCAGAGAGAGGAAGCTCAGCCTCAGAGCAGAGAACCACTACAGGTTTGTGAAATGACTTCCCTTTGGGGGATGTGTGTGTGAGAAGTTTTCCCTTGGGCTCTGAAGGAATTATTAATACCAGTAAGCAAGTTACAGCCATGGTACCTCCAGGCCAAGAGCAATGTCTTCATTGCTTATTATCATATTTTTCTCACCCTGTCTTTTTTGTTGCTGTTGTCTTAGGATGAAGTCAAAATTCCCTTTTCAACGTATCTTTAGAGTGCAACCGAACTTGAAAGAATCCTACTTGTAGGCACTGGTGGCTGTTTCACCAAATGGCACTGTTCTCCTTTTTCAGGCATTTCCTCTATAGTTTGATATTCAAGGCCTGGAGAGCCTATGTGTGCCAGCAGCAAGGAGAGAGGAACAAATACTGTGTTGCAGAGTCTCATGGTAAGTGAAGTGATGGTAACTGTCTTTATTTGGGGGCATAGTGAGATGGGAGTTTTCAAAGGGAACATTCCCCCAGAATCTGTGTCCCCTGGGCTCCCCCAGGCCCTGGCAGGGCAGTGCTTCCAGGAGCAGATGGAATTCCATGTGAGGCACTGTGGTGTAGCTACAGTTATTTAGAGATGCCACTGGATAAGCTTAAGGGCCTCTCCATCTGCTCTGGATCGCAGTGTTTGTTTTTGAGGGGGTGGTTTGGTGGTTTTTTTTCATCTGTTTGGTTGTTTTTTTTTAACTTAATGTGTGTTCAAATAGATATTTTTTGATAGAATGTATTATTGGAATTCTCTATCAACTGTGGCTACAGACATTAGATAATAACTCCCTGTGGTATTAACTGCACTCATTTTACCTGAATTCACTATTCCTTCCAGCCTGTGTCTTAAAACTGAAGAGAAGCCCAAGCTTTTGAAGTACCTCTGGTCTTATTGTGTAGATTCTTTGCTCTGCAATGGATTTGTCTTGGAGCTGTCTGTACTGGTTGCAATGGTTTTGTTCTGAGCTGACTTGCAAAATAAGTTAACTGGTCTCCTTGCACATGACTGTAGCCTCTGACTATCCCAGAGCCTGGCACCTTTGGACACAAACTGACAGGCCATTTAGACTTCCTTTCTCACTGAGTGAGGCCAGAGTATTTACAGCAGAAGCTGCGTGTTACTTACTCACAGAAAACCGTGACCTGGTTTAAGGTCGGTTAATGTTTGATTCACAAGGAAATCTTAAAAAAAACTTTGGGGTTTTTTTTATGTGTAAGTGTGAAGGGGCATAGAATCAATGATATTTTCTTCTGACAACTTTGCTTCAATAGTGTCAGTTCTGACCAACCAGCCTGCTGTGAGGAGAAAATGCAACACACTGCATAAAGTGGTAAACTGGAATTTGTGACACCACTTCTGTTTTTAGCTGCATGACCAGCCTGCTAAATAAACTTGGCTTGTTTCTGGTTGATTTCTCTGCTTGTACTAGAGAATAACTCCTGAAAAGCTACTGATGAACCTGATGAACTTCTTTTTTTTGAAAACGAACCAAAGAAAAGCCTGTAATTCTTACCCACTAAGGTCATTAGTGAGTATTGTTATACATTATACACCCTGTAAGCTCTGAAGACAAAGCAATGCCATTGTCTGATCGTTCACGCTGCTCTGAACTGGTGGCATGGATGGTGCTGTCAGCGATTCTGACACTGGGCAGTGTGACACCCTCACCCAGGATGAGCTTCCCTGTCATTTCACGGCTTCCCACGAGGTGTCCCTGCAGGTTGAGGGGACAGGAGTCGGGGACAGTGGTTCAAACGTGCATGATTCCTGCGTGAACTTAAGGTGCTGTCATATTTTTTTTTTTGTGCACAGCAAAGAAGCAAAAGCTGCTCAGGACCTGGCAGTGCTGGCTGGTTTATGTTGATGTTGAAAGGACAAAACGTGGGATGCAGTCTGTGGCACTGGCATTCAGGGAAAGAAGCTGTCTGCGGTAAGGATGGGGTGGAAACGGGCAGAGAGGCACTGACCACGAGGCCGTGGCTTTTACCTGGGTCGTGTTACCTTTTCCTGCAGTGACTTTGTTCCATCTTCGAATTTATTTTTTTTTAATTATTTTATTTTTCTTTTTGGTATGTTTGAGTTCTGGCACACTCACAGACTGAATTTAAGAGACCTTAAGCAGCCTTCCAGTACCCAACAGGAGCCTACAGGAAGGCTGGAGAGGGACTTTTTGCAAAGGCATGCAGTGAGAGGACAATAGGGAATGGCTTTAAACTGAACAAGGTAGATCTAGATTGGATATTAGGGAAAAATTCTTTAACATGAGGGTGGTGAGACCCTGGCACAGGTTGCCCAGAGAAGCTGTGTCTGCCCTATCCCTGGAAGTGTTCCAGGCCAGGGTTGGACAGGGCTTGGAGCAACCTGGTCTAGTGGAAGGTGTCCCTGCCCGTGGTAGGGGGTTGGAATGAGATGATCTTTAAGATCCCTTCCAACCCACACTGTTCTGCGAGTCTATGAAAAGATTGTTTTTCATACCTTTTTCCAGTGAGAAGAAGGTGATTTCTTGCACAGAATTATGACACCTGTGTTTGAACATGTCTGTAACATTGTTTTGGCAGCGTTTCGTGGGCGGTGTGGAGAAGACAACACTACCAGAAATGCACTGGACATCAAATGAATATTTTGGCTCTGCAGCACTGGGCCCAGAGCCTGCAATTTCGAGTAAGTCCCAGGAGCTTCAGCTACTGCTGAATGTTTTTAATGTTTAAGTTGCACACGTGTGAAAATGTTGAAGATGAATAAAAATTAGGCCTTGTATTAATTTACTTTGCAAATTGCAGTACTTATGGTGGAGTAACATATCAGGACATGAGCAAATGGAATGAAGCTGCATCTGGGCAAGTTCAGATTGCAAGTTCATTGCTCATGGCTTTCACCTTCAGAACTTACGTGGAATTTCCTATTGCCTGTGTGTTCTTCCTCTTCTCTGTTCTGGTTCACTAATCTTGTTTTTTCTCCTTACTGCCCTCCCTCCATTCTTCTGTCAGGCTTGGTTGCAGTGGCGAGAGCTGTATTTGTACAGCCAGAATGAGAAGCAGAAGGAGACCAGGGCAGTCACTCACCATCAGCACTGGGAATTGAGGAGATGCCTGGGAGCATGGCTGGGATACTTAAACCTCCACAGAGTAAAGAAACGTCAGAATGGTGAGTGAGGACAGAACAGGGCTCAGCCCCTTTGCTTAGGCCACAGTGATGGGTTTTTCTGTTCTAGGAGACACTGCAGTGTCTCTGCCCAACAGCTGATGAGATGCAGCTTGGGCTGCACACTGTGACAGGCCTGGCTGGCTGAGGTCACACACTGAACTGTAGGGAAGATCACCTGCTTTCCATGTGATTTAAGAGAAAATGCTTTACTGTTCCCTTGATGAAAACTTGCACATTATCTATTATATTCTAACTGGGATATCTGTGAGAAGGATGTATTCAGGACTTTGAGCTGTCTGTGGATGTTCTTGATAATCAGACAAATCACAACTCATGCAGGATGGTAAAGGTTATTACACCAGTTCTTTTGCTTTATCCCTTGAAGTCACTGGCATGAGTTCAGATCTTTGTGTGAATTGCCTTTTGATTGGTGGTAGTGGAAAAGAATCCAGCTTGGATAACTAGAAACTAGTGCTAGGAGTATGCTGAAATGTGAGCAAGCTTGTGTGTGTTGAACAAGTGACACAGTGTCTTAACTTGCCCTTCTTAAGTCAGTACAGTAGGTCACTGCCTTAAAACTGCCTTTGTGATCAGTAGGAGGAATATAATCCATAGCTGAGTGTTAATGGGAATTCTTGCCATCATTTTTCAGTGTTAGAGCTCCTGTCACTTCCGAACCAGTGGCTTAGGTGCCGTGATCTCACCTGACACAAATGAGCAGGAGTATTTTGTGTTTGTTTTCCAGAGCTGGCCCAGGAGCTTCACCGGAGCCGGACGCTCCGGCGCCGTTTCTCTGACTGGCGGCTGTTGTTGGAGTGCAAGAGAAGAATTCATGCTCACCAAAAGGACTTGGAAAAACAAGCAGCAAGGATTGCCTTATGGAGAGTCTTTGCACACTGGAAGCATTGTATCCCATCTGTATTTACGCTCTAGCACAGACGGGTCAAAAGCATTCCCGCGGGGGAAAGATCCAGTTAATAAGCAGGAATGTTGTGCAGCAGTGTGGGTGACAACAAGCATGTTATCATTAGAAAGATGTGTGTAATGCCATACTAACAATTAATTAACCTGGTGCAATTACTGGATGTTAGTGTGTTGACACCTAAGAGCCTGCAGAAAATAATTTATGGTCGTAGAGGAATTCCTTAACAGTGAGTCAGAAATCTGTTGTGATAAGCCATCAAAATCTAAAATAACTCTGACTTTAGTCAAAACTTCTGCTGATAACAGTGCTGGAAATTCAAATATTGCAGCACATTTAGATGGAGATGTAGTGCCCCTCTGTGGGAGAAGGTTGTGTGTGTATTGGGAGGGATGTCTCTGTGTAAAGGATACTTTAACTCAGTGACAGATGTTGTGCTGTGTGTGGAGGAGTCTCGGCAGTGTGAGCTGGCTGAAGAGCACTACAGACATCACCTGTTGGTAAGAGCAGGGTCACGTGGCAGGTGGAAGGGGCTGTGGGGAGTGTCCCTGTAATGCTGACAGTGGTGTGGGTGTTCAGTGGGAGATGCCATAGAGAGTTTGGATTGGACATCAGGTTTCTAAATTTTAACTGTTCTGGAATCTGCCAGTTGAATACAAATGGGGAAACTGTACTGCTCTCCAGAACAAGTATTATTCCAGTTGGGAAGCTGGAGAAGTGACAGTTTGTGAGAGGAAATGGATGCCTTGCTTTGATGACAAGTTCATGAATCCTGGCTGTTGCAAGGAATAGCATCAAACATACATTGTCTGTAAGGAGCAGCCAGCTCTAAACTTCCCTGATTTGGATTACATAAAAGTTGTGTATGTTTCTTATTGTTACAGAAACTTGGCTTTAAGGGTCTTTGGCAGAATGTTGTGAACACTCGTCTTCAGAGAATGAGAAAAAATCTGTCACACCGTCAGCACCAAGTTACAGTGAGTTTGACTCTTGTTCTTGTGTTAGTGTTTCTTGAGCTGGCCTGTTGGCTTCCACTTTCACCTACAAAGTACTTTTTTATTACAGCAGTGACTTTGTTCCTAAATACTCATAAGCACAGAAAATCTCCTGTGTAAGTCAACTGCCACTCTTAGATATGGGGTTTTTTTGCATCTGTCTTGTTTTATTTCAGGTGCTGCAGAAGTTCTGGAACCGTTGGAAGTCCCGTTTGGAAGAGAAGGAGGAAGAACAGCAGCAGGCCTTAACATTAGTGGCTCATGTCCGTTATAGGTACGCAGAGAAACATTAATATAAACTTGTACAAATGTGGAATTTGTGGGCCTTTGCTTCTCAAGTCTGGTAATACTTTGGGAGCGTGACCATCTTGATGCCAATTGCTCTGATATTTTCTATGAGTAATGAACAATTTACATCTCCTGCTTCTCTGTGGAATGTGAGAAGGAGGTTTGTTAAGATGAGCTCTGAGGCTTGTTTGGATCTAAGAGCTGGACTATATCAGAGTAATGATCTATCTGCTGCCTGATTTCTAAAGAGGGCTTGCATGATTTGAAAAAGCAAGTAACTGTGTAAGCTGTAGATGGATTGGCTGTTTGACTTCCATGTGTGTTTTCTGAAGGAATTCTCTCCTGTGCTGACATTGTCCCTTTTTGCCTGCAGGAGGGTGTTGATGAGATGGGCGTTTGACACGTGGCTGCTGAAGGCCAGCAAGCTGCAGGAGGATCGAATGGGGGAGGAGAGGGTAAATGTAACTCTCTTACCTGGCCTTGCTTAGGAAATGGAGGGGGTGATTCCTTAGTCACTGTCTGTGAACATGAGTTAGCATGAGATGGACTTGGATGTTGTAAATTCCCTGTTCCCTGGTGGGAGATCAAGTCAGGGGCAACTCTCACACTGTCATTTTCATAGTTACTTCATTGAAATGATAATAGTAATTAAAGGACCAACCCCAGCCTATTTAAGAAGTCCAGGGTTGTGCTGACAAATTAGTTGCTTCTAGGTAGGTGTCCATAAAGTTCCTTAAGGAGTCCTTCATTTCCTAAGATGTGTGTATATATGTAATCCTGGAATCTTTTTATGTAGCAGCCATTGCCTCCTTTTATGTGGCCTGTTACACAACTCCAAGTTTTTGATAGTGTGGGTGTTCTTGTGCAGATATGTCTGGCTCTTGGTGGTGGGAGATTATCAGCTCTTGTGAATTCAACAGGACTGGTTTCTGGGGCTTATCGGTTCTTGGGAGCCCTTCACATGCTACTTACCAGTTTGTAGTTTTTCCATCTTTACTCTGCTGTTTCTGGTGACAGTTCATCCCTCCACATGCACACAGGGAACCTGTAGAACATGTTAAATAACCTCACAGCAAAGGGCCTTTGGTGGTATGGCCACTGCTGTTCAACCCGAGGAGAGGAAAACAGCATTGGACAGTTCTGTGCATGTCATCTTTAAGGATTGTCTTCTTCTGTTTGTAAGTGTCCCGTGTCATGTATTCATTGCCACCTTCCTTCCACCTCAGGCTGTGCTTCATTTTGAAAGGCAACTGTTGCGCTGCTTCTGGTGCTCCTGGCGCAGAAGAACAGCGGCGTGTTTGGAGGAGCAGGAGGCCTTGGTTCGGGCCAGAGATCACTACAGTAACTTCCTGAAGCTGAAGGCCTTCTGTCTCTGGAAGCAAAGTACTCAGGAGAGAAAAACAGAGTAAGAAGATTTTTTTAAGAAGGGAGAGTAGTTTGGATTGGCCCTGTGGTGGCCTACTAAGGACAAACAGCATTTAATTCATGATGATGCTGACTCCTTATTTGTGCTTGGCAGTCTGCTAGTTTGTGTTTCTGTAAATGACTTACTGATAATAATAAATGTGGATTTGAGTCTGTGCTAGAAGGATTCAGTAACATGGATTGCATTGTAGGAGAAATAATTATTTTTCTTGTAGGAAGCTCAGGGAGATGCAAGCCTTAAGATTTCACTGTTCAAAGTGTCTGCAGAAGACTTGGAACAAGTGGAGGGAGGTGAGAAAGTTAAGAGAGGGGGAAGAGCTTAAACTCTTTATTATGTTCACATTGCTTGTACCCATATGGCTAGAAATTAAATTGTTTATTTTAAACACTAATCATTCCTAAGCTCTCCTCGCTTTCCAGGTGGGTAAAACTAGTTCAGTGTGGGTGGAACAGTAGAGGAAGGGGAGGGAGCTCTTTGTCTACTTGTTCATGTGTTTAGATATGGTGAGAATGGGATTATAGTTTAGATGCACCTGGGAATGTAACCAGAGTCAGGTGATGAAATTGTCCCTACCCAGTACTGTGTGTCCTTCTCAAAACTTTAAGTTTGCAGCCAGGCCTGTAGTTTTGTGCAGGTCGTAGCAGACCCTGTCACAGGGTACTTTTATGCTGGGCCTTTTCCTTACCATGATGAGTTGTACCAGGTGTGCCAAACAGCATGTTGTGAGAATCTATGAGAAGTGTTACAGTTGGCACTTGTATGTTGGTGCAGACCTGTTAACTTGAGTGAATTGAATCAGTCTTCAAGAGGATTCCTACAAAGGCCAGGAAGAAAAACCACCTCAACTAGACCTTTTGGAGGAATAGCAGAGTGCAGCATCAGTTTGAGTGAAAACCTATTAGAGCAAATTGTTGTTTCCCCTGAGACTGGGAATGGTGCTTTTCTCTCTTCTCTCTGTCACTGCCTGTTTTCCCTCCTTCATGTCTATGTATTTTTTGAGTTCTTTCCCCTCCCTCCTTGCAGTATGTGGGACACCAGCGTGAGAAATGGAGGAAGTTGGTGCGAGCAGATCTGCACTATCGACAGACATTGCTGGGCAAGACCTTGGCAGCCTGGAAGGTAGGAGGGAATGTCCTTTTCTGTGAGGCACTTGTCTGGGTGGGCTTAAGTGTTCCAGTGAGAGCTGAAGAGCTGCCACACTGCTTCACTCCAGGCACCAAGTGTGCAAGGTAGAATGCAGACTGCTGTAGTTAGGGCTGTATAAGCTCTAGCATTGCTTTGTGGAGCATAACCAGTGTAATCTCGTGGCTTTGGTGAAGGGTATATCATAGGTAGCAGTAACTAGGGTGCATTGACTGCTTGTCACAGAAAAACAGCATTTGATTTCAGTGGCTCTAAGCATTTTTTTCCACTGTGACTCTCCTGAGCTGCTACTTAGACATTCTAGATGTTTCCTCTCCTCAGAGGTGTTAACAGCTGAGGGAAATTTACCTCTCAATGCTTTTTTTTTTTTTTGCAGAGTTACCAACAAAACATACAGTGTGTTCTGTACCGAGTAGCTGAAAAGGAGGAGGAGCACACCAGGCTGCTGCTGGGGTGAGCCTTTCCTTAGGCAGTGTGAGAGAAGGGACTGCACTGCAGGCAAATTCATTACTTTCTTTCACTGCCACTTTTGTAACTTTTTGAGTGTTCAGTGCTGGGAGTTGACTCTGCCATGCATTAGTATTTCCATGCAGGTCATCCAGTTAAAAGAAATCAACCTCTTCCTGTTTGCTTGGACATTTTTTTAAATCTCTGCTTAGTCCTATGAGAGTCAGCAGGCAACAAACTATATTGTTCACTGCAGTGCATGAATTCTGTTATGGTGTAGAAGATGTAGAAGCTGCCTTCCATTACAGCAAGGAGAGTGATTAAAATATTACCACACTGCACAGGCTGTAGTTACTTTAGTTTTAATTACCTTACTTGTCTTAATGCTGTACAACTTGAGTCACTTGCAGAGCCTGACTGGCTGAGCTCTGGATTTCAGTGTTCTGTTTTGCACTGCCTTCTCTTCAGCAGAGACCTGAACAGGCAGAAGGTGATTTGCATGACTGAGTTTTTGGAGGCAGCTGTTTTTGGTTCCCTTGTGAGTAGGAAGGTGCCAAATGAACAAGTGAGAATCATTCTTAATGGGTTTTGTTTGGTTTTACATTTTTTGTGTATTTTTGCCTTCAGGCAGCTTCTGTATACGTGGAGAGAAAATGCCCTTGCTCTTATCCATGAAGCCAAGGCAACTGCTCGGGCAGATGAGCACTACAGGAGGGCAGTCCTGTCGAAGGTAGGGTGTGCACAGCAGCTGCCAAGGGGTCAGTACAGGTGCTGGTTCAGGGCAGGGGTCAGGTAATGCAATTAGAACAACCAAAAACTTAATCTGAGAGTCACTACTAAGAAAGGCCTGAAAACTGAGAGCCTTGTCTTGTTTTTACAGGTGTCTCTGAAACTTGTCTGAGTGAGGCCATGGTTTTTCCTCTTCTTTTCTTTCTCCTCATTTCTTAGGAGGAAGGGAAAAACAGTGTTATGATGTAGCATAGTAATATTGGTGAGATGGAACAGGAGGGTGGGTGGATGGAAAAGAAGAAAGCCTTGAAAAATGCCAGGGGGACCCTCTAAAATACTGCTGTTTAATTTGTGGGAAATTTTCACTGTCTTGCTGAGCCTTATGTGAAAAATGAGATGGAAATGGTGCTGTTGGCAGCAGTGGGGAGTATTTTGCTTCCCCTTCCATTGCAGTGCCAGCCTGTGTCCCATGCCCTGTTTGCATGGTGTGTTTAGGTGTTGCTGCAGTGGAGACACACGGCCTGGCTGCGAGCGTGTCACCGCCAGGAGAAGGTGACAGCTGTGATGGAGGCCAGAAAACACCTGGATACAGGTGAGCTGATGGAGATATTGAGCTCTCAAAAGACCTTGTTATCTGTGTACGGGCCAAGGTCAGTCTGTTGTGTCATCTGTGCAGATGAAGTGACTGCTTGGTCTGTTAGCTTACAAAGGTCATCCCCAGAGAATGGAGAATGACTTGAGACTCCAGTGATCTGCTGAAGGCAGCTTGTGTGGCTTTTGCTTCTCTGTTGGTTCCTTGTCTGTATAAGGGATGGTAACACTTCCTTCCTCAAAGCAATTTTCCATTACTAATTTTGAGAAGCTCAGACATCTGTTTTGAGGGCAATGCAATATTACTGCTTCAAGGCCCTCAAACTCTGCAAGCATTTTCATGGTACCAGCCACATTCTTGACATGAGGACTCTGAAGCACAGAGGGCAAATGATTTCCCAAAGCTTACAAAGAATGTGACAGCAGGGAGGACTTGCAAGTCACTGCTCACTGTCTGTTACCTGAAGTGTTTTGCAACTATTCCTTACAGTGAATACTGTCAGTGCTGAGTATTGTCTATGTTGAGTATTGCTGAAACAGTCTGGAAGAGCAGCTGATCACTTGATACTCTGAAATTAATAGTCTCCTTTTGGTACATGAGTTAATTTATCTTCTCCCAACAGTGCGTTTACAGACCTTGTTTCTTCATTGGAAGGAATTAACGGGGGAGTGTCTGATGCTGAGGGCTCAGCACCACAGGGCAGTACAGCACCACCAGCAGCACCTGCTCCACAAGTACCTGGGGAAATGGAAAAATTATCATCAGCAGTGCCTTGAGAAAACGGTGAGAAGGATCAGCAACCTCCCCAGCCTATGGGAAGTGACGTGTGTGGAGGAGCAGCCGTGTGCCCTGGAGAAGGGAATGACAGTCTTGGCTGAGGAGGAGCATGACAGCCTTATGTGCTGAGGAGGAAGGAACATGCCTGTGTCTTGCCTGAAGAAACCGATAGAAATAACAGACTTAACAAGAGGTGACAAGCTGAGCTTGCCATGGGTGGGACATTTACTGTGAATGAATCCTGGCTGGACTCAGATACCTGCAAATGGGGTTGCACTGTAGGGCATGTGGGTGTTGAGGGTGACCTCAGCAGAACAAAGGGAGGCTGGTAAAGGCTGTTTGGTAGCTGTTCTGCTCTAGTAGCATTTGGCTCAGATAAATGAGGTTTGCCTGCAAGTGACTCACTGTTTTGGTTGCCTCACAGCTGCTGCAGAGACAGGGAGATCAGCTAATGACTCACAGACTTTGCTCTGCTTCCTTCTCTTGCTGGAAGGCACGGGTAAGGAATTTTCCCCCGGGGACATCCCTAGCTCGTTTCTAATCCTTATCCATTCTTCTCCATCATGTTCTGTTTACACAAGGACCAAAAGAAAATTATTTAAGCATTTTCAGGATTTTTTTGTTCTACTAGCAGAGACACACCTTGCCATAGACTGAGTGAACTGAGTAGGTTTTTCTGCTCTGGCTCTGCCAGCATTTCCTCTTTGGTTGATGCTTTGGCTGGTATGGGGTGTGTGAACTCCTAACCTGGTTGCTGTGCATCTTTTTTCCCTTGACAGCTGTTGCAGCAACAATGGGAAAAGCAGCAGACAGTGCAGGCGCTGTGGCACTGGTCCCTGTCGGTGCAGAGGAAGGTGAGGGGTTTGTGGGGCAGGGGCAGTGAGGTTACAGATGTGCAGCTCAGGGGCAGGTCTGACTGCAGTCAGCACAGTGCACACTGAGTATCTGCTTCCTGTCGTCTTTGGGCTGCTGTACGTTATTTTGGGATGCTGGAAAACTGTCCTTAAATTGTCTTAGCCAATTAAAAAATGTACATGTGTTTTACCCCATCCTGCCTCAGCTGACTTAAATCTCTGTCCCTTTGTCCTTGTGGCAGTGTCCTGTTGCTGTAGCTCTGTCTATCCCTATCCTGTGGAAAGGGAGAGTGTTCGTGTCTGCAGGGGGAGTCCCTGGCCTGGAATCTGTCTGTGTAACACTCCCAGCTCTCTCTTGTTCCTGTTGTAGGTATTTGATGCTTGGCTCACATTTGCCAAGGAGCAACAGAAGAAAGATGGCAATGAAAAAGGCACAGGAGTTCACCACACAAGTTTTCTGAGAGAAGGTGGAATCTGGACCTTGAGAAACCCCAGTGGCATGAAACAGTTGCAGGATCAGCTCCATGCCCAGCACCAGCTGAAGGTGAAAGAGAAAAGTGTTTGCTCAGATATATCCAGAAGTGGGCTGCTCTGGTCTCTGCTCTGTGTGGAGATGTGTTTGTGTGTGTGTGCATGTCTGTATCTTGGAGCCCCACATCCCAGCTGTTGTTTGGATCCTACTTACACTTTTGCCCGTGGTTCAAAGCATTTCATTCAGCTGAGACTGAAGCACTTGACACTCATGTTGCTAATTGGGAACCTTTCTTAATGGAACAATTTCAAAACTGGCCAACTCCTGCCATAGACAATATTCCTGGATGAAACCTTTGCATGTGACTAGGGTCTGGTCTCTAAATTCTGTGCCAGAATGAAGCATTAGAGGCTGCATCTGATCCTGTCCTAGCTTTAGCTCTGCTTGTACCTTCAAATGTGGGCTTATGTCACTTCTGCCTTTGAGTATGAGCCCAGCCCTGTCTGTGAAAAGGAAGCTAGGGATGCCAGTATTGATTGCTCTCTTCCTGCTTCTGGGCAACCTTCCCAGCTCTATTCCAGATTTCCAAGACACCAGTTGTTCCATTTGCTATAATGTGCAGCTTTCCTTGCTGTAGAAGTACCCAGTTCTTCTTGCCCAAATGTTACCACAGGAACCTCTTAATTTAGCTGCTATGGCTGTGAGGTCATCAGAAATCTCAGTTCCTTCTGCAGTGTCCTTCTCTCTGGGGGATGTAGTGTTGCTCCTGCTCTGAGCCATCAGATCTCTGCTGTTCTTTGTGTTGGCAGGCAGCCCACAACCCTCCCCACTCCGTGTACTGCTGTTCCATGCTGTGGAAACAGAGGGCTCTCTCCAAGAAATTAAATAAACCTTTTTCTTTTCTGCCACCTCTGAAGAAGCAGGTGACATTTGGGAGGCCTGATGTTAGTCCTGAGACAAGAGGACATTCAGCAGAGGAAGAGCCATGGCCTTCAAAATGCAGACATCTACCACTGCACCCTGCTGATGGGGGCTCAGTTCTCAGTGATCTGTGAGTGTAAACTTCTAGTTCCTCCCCCATTTCTCTGGCATATGTGTAGCTTTGCATATATGTGGTCCATCTAAGTGTGTCTCATTTTTGTGTTTACAAGTTTTCAGACTGATGACTTAGTTTCGTGCACTCTCCTTAACTCTTTCTCTGACCCTGCATCATATGACTGGTGGTGCAATTACACAGGAGCTGCTGTGAAATGCAAACATCAGCCCACACATAATGAAGGAATTTGTGACTTTATATTTGCATATCAGCAACAGGTAGAATCAGCTCAGCTTTAGACCTTCACTGTGTGTTTCTTAAGATACAACTGAATTCAGGAGTGTTGGTCATTTGTCATAGGAACAGTCACACAGAGGAACATTTGAAAGATATCTGTTGTGGGCCTTTGGCCATCAGGATTGCTTATCTTGCCCAAGTCACCTAGAGCTATCACTGAAGCCATGTATAAGCTCTGATGAAATAATAAACATCAAGATCCTGGCTATACAGAAGCTGAACTTTCATCTTGCCCCTTTCTTTTCCCTGGGGAAGCTTTTCCTTAAAAAAATTCCTACTGATCACGGGGCAATTGCAAGTAATAATCTTCCATGAAGCTTCTCAGTCCAGGACAGGAGCCCTACAGGGAAATAAGATGGTAACTTCACATTGCTTTAAGCTTGTATGTGCTGCCAAAAGAAGTGTTTCTGCCCCGTTTAGTTGTGTCCCTTCCACCACTCCCTGTGTTGGCACAACCATTCACATGGTGAACCAGATTGTCACATTAATACAGGTGGAAATTTAGTCTGTAGGAATTGCTACTGTGTGCAAGGGGAACGTTGCAGAGCAGGGATGAATGATGAAACAGGACTGTTTCTTTAGCTGCAATACCAGTTTATGCCAATTTAAAATAATCCTGACTCTGGGGCATTATTCTGTTTTTCTTTTCAGAAATGCTATTCAACGAGCCAGGTTACCACCACGGAGGCCTGACTTCCTTCTGGAGTCTCTAGAAAGCAAGGAACTGCTGGGACCTCCTTTTGCTAGGTAGAGAATCTATTTTTAAAAGTAAAGAAAAGAGGGTGACTTACAGTGGGCATAGTGAGGCAGCTGACTGGGGAGCTGTATGCAAGGGAATGACAAGATTATCCCTTTTTTTCCACTGACTGCAAAGGCAAGACCAACAGGTTGCACTGTATAGTGACCTCATCCTTCTTTTACAGGTCAGAGGTTCCCTTTCAGCAAACATCTGTGAATAATTGTTCTGCACAGACTGGGAACTTACTGCAGACACCTCACCTGGAGGAAAGCACCTGTAAATGTCTGTCTCAGGGCAGTGCTGCTCATTCCCATCCTCTTCCCTCTCTCCCACGTGCTGCTCTCCCCTCTCCCCCACTGTGGACAGCAGATGTGCCCCGTGCTGGGCAGGGCCCACAGCTCTGGCCTCCTGCCTCTTTCATGCCCCAGATGAAAGCTGGGTCAGAGAAGGTGAGTGCATTGCTGAAGGAACAATCGGTGTGTGCACTGGGCTGCTGTCAGCAGCTTGTTGCTTGTTGCTGGGTTTTCCTCTTCTGAGGAAAAGCCCAGCTGGATGCTGAGCTGTTCTTGTTCGAGCTGTCGTGTTTAAAGCTGACCAAATGCACTGCCTCTGAATGCCCAAGAACTGTGTACCCCCAGTCTGAAGCAATCCACGTGTGTTGCACTGTAATTCAGGCCTTTTTTTCCCGGTGGTCTTCCTACCCTTCTTTTCCTGGCAACTGACTTGAGAGGGCTGCCCCTTCAGAGCTCAGAGCAGTTACAGTTTGCCATCCAGATTTACAGGGATTTAAGAACAACTCAGTTTAGGAGAGAGGCTGTGTCTGAGAGGCTCAAAAAATTGGAATTCACTTTACCTACAAGTCAGTGCTTGCATTTTAAACTCCCTTGTTCCACACAGAATGGGAGGGTTAATACTGATGTGATGTCTCTATGCTAGAAATTAAAGAGCCCATTTTTTAAGCTCTGCTTCTTCTGTGGCACTGTATGAGAGGGGCTGAGTGACTACAGGGGTTGTCTGAGTGGGAGTAGGTCAGGGGCATCCTACTTGTAGGGCTTAGTCAAGAAAACCCTTTGAGGAAAAACCCAGTATCCTTCTGACCTTGTAGAGAGGAGATCAGCCTGGGAGTGGTCACAAAGGAGCCCATCCCCAAGAGTCCCAACAGAACTCAGTGGGGAAGTTGCGACCAAATTTGCAGCCACATCTGCTGTCACCTGAAGACTTGGTGGCACAGTGGAGTCACCAAACTGCAGGTAGGTCCTCAGATCCAAACTGTAGCAACTGTACATCCTCCTGTCTAATCTATATGAGACTCCAAGTGAACTCCCCCAAATGGACAGGAGTCAAGGCAGTTTTGTATGCCAGCATCAGGAGGGAAAGGGAATCAGTGTTCCTTTTTGGGATGGTAATACGGTGGTGTGGATTCTGCTGAATCTGGGGGCTAAAGTCCTGTTCTAGGGATTGAAGGGTGGGAACTGCTTAGGGTTGGCTTTTCTTAGCAAGAATATGCTCAGGTGCTGGGGCAGAATTTGCTTCAGGAGGGAAGAGTTCACCCAGTAAGGCTTTCTGAGAGCTCCCTGTACTGACAGCATGGGTGTAAAGGGGGCAGATGGTGTCCAAGCACCTCTCACTGGGGTGTTTTTAATGACATGAAGGCATAAAACTTCTGTTCTGCAGGACTAGACTTTAACTACCTAATTACTTCTAGACTAGATATAAACCACTAAATCCTGAACAGGCCAAAACAGTGTTTGTAGTACTAAACCATTCACTAGAGCATTTCTGATCTGGTGTGTATTCAAACTGAGCCTTCAGAGCTTGTACTGCTCTCTCACTGTACCTGACATTTTGGGTGAACAGATACATGTCACAGGGTAACAAACCATGTGAGAAGGACTCAGGAGGGTTCAATTTTTCCTGTCTATTCAAAATGTTTCCTGTTTCTTTGATAAGAAGTCTGCTCTACTTCCATTGCTTGTGCCTTGTGTCTTCCATTCAGCTGAAGGGGAAGAGAGGGAGCACAGTTCCAGAGAAGAAATGGTGTTGCAGAGAAAGGTGGAGGTTGAACTCCGACACATCCAGCAGCAGATGCAGTACTACTACAGCAGGAAGCTGGAGCTCAAGTATGTTCAAAGGCCCTTTAGCCAGCCTTTCTTTGTGTTTTCAACTCAATGCTGCACTATTTGTATGCATCTATCTACCCTGAAAATAGTCAGTTTGTTCACAGTAGAACTGTGAATGGAACAGAGAAAAGTTCTAGAGATTTTTATTTTCTCCTTTTGAGTTCAGTCCAGGTGAAAGGGAGTATGTGCATAACTTCTTCTGTAGTCAGCAAGTGGTTTAATTATACCTTTGGCAGCTCTTGGAGAAGCAAGTCAGAGGTATCATGGTGTAATCTGAAGGCAGGATAAATTAACTGGGCAGAGCAGCTGAAATTTAGCTTTTAGATCTTTTATCAAGAGGAATGAAGACTGAGCTTTTCCAACTGTGAATTAAAAAAATAAATATGGCTGGTATTTGATAACTGCTCCACTAGAAGAAGAAAACATTTACAAAATTGCTCAAAAGAAAATGAGACTTGGAGGGGATTTAACTGTCAGGAAAGGAGGAAGTCAGTGATTAGGAGAGGGAGACAAGTTTTCAGATTCCTCTACTTTCCAGCATCCTTTTTTCTTTTCACTTTTTTAAAAGATTTTAACTATTCACAGGCTTGAGACAAAAAATTGGGTGTTATTGCAAGTATCAATTGCAAGTCTAAGTTGGCTTAGACTGTTGAGCTCTTAATTGGAGTAAGAATCCTTCTAATCCATTTTATCAGGTCCTGTCAGCAGCAGGCACAGATTCTGCAGCAGTGGCTGGAACTGAGCTCAGGACCAGGAGCCCGAGCTGGTGTGCAAGGAGTTCAGGAAGAGCTGGGTCAGGTGTGTACAAATCAAACTGAAGCTACAGAAGTGATTATCACTATGCTCTGCACTCAGCCTAAAGGCTGATGGCAGCTGTGAAGAACTGTGTACTAAGCCGTTGGTAAAATGCCAAGGGAAGGGAAACTTGTGGGCAGAAGTGGGCTGATGAGAACAGGCTCTGGAAATGCTTCTTCCTCTTTGTTCAGAAATGCAACTCCAGCTCCAACAGACCTCTCTGAGGCTATTTCCAAGCTACAGATCAGGCTTTAGAAGATTCCATCTCGAAATTTTGTCTGCAGTCTCTCAAGACAGTTTCCCTGTGTGCAGCCTGCACCTGCACTGCTCCGAGTGCCCACGTTCACACACCAGGTGTGGGACTGCTCTGGTACCTCTGAATCCACAGCCAGTACCGAGCTCTTCCCAAGGGACACATCCTGTCCCTTCGCTGCTTCTAAGTGGGATAACACAAAAGAAGAAAAATCTTAGAGCAGCTCCTGCTGTCAGAAGCACTGAATGCTGCCTTGCTGTACAAACAGCTCATGCTCTTGTTGCCTTCCCTTGCAGCTGCAGGGAAGGATCAACACCCTGAGCGCAGCCCAGCTGACGGACAGACAGCGTGTGCAGAGCCTGCTCGCCCGCCTGCGGGAGATCCAGCTTGCCCTGGATCTATAATGCCTCTGATCCAACTTTCCAGCTCAGGGGTAGGACTTTTTGCCCCTTTGATAGCAGGGGAGGATGGAAGAGATGTGTACATTCACTTAGTTCTATGGACGGCATTTATATTTGATAAATTAAATGAAAATGTTTTTGCTTGTTTTGTTGTTAAAAAAGCTGATTAAAAACCACACTGGAGCTACATCTACCTCATGCTGCACTTGCAATACCTAGTTTAGGTTACCCTGCCAGAAAGATAAGCAACACAGATAAGACTCTTTATTTCAAAATGTTTGCAATTAAATGAGTTCATGTCAGTAAGTCATACACTTTGACATACAAAAATACCGTGCTACTGATACAGTTGAATTAAATGGATTCTCCAGGCAGGAGAAATTCACAGCATTATCAGTACCCTCGAGCAACTTTGCTTTCAGTTCTGGGTGTGTTGCTGGCCCTGCATCACAAGCAATATTGAGTTATTAGCTCGCTCTGCACAGTATTAAAACCATCCTAAAAACAGCCACTTGCTGGATCCTCTCCTCCTTCTGAGCTTTCTAATAAAGCAAACCTCAAGTAACCCATCCTCCATCACAGGCTAACAGTAACCTTCAGATACTGTGGATGATGATGCTGAGTAGGAAGAAATTAAAGCTAAAACTTCCTTTGGCTGTGTCTGGGTGCTAAAGGCCCCAGTGGAAAAGGGGGAAAAGATTCACTTGTCTTTTTTTCTCATCCACTGGAACAAATTTGCTTTCTACTGTTAACACAACATTGAAGTTTAATCAAAAATCTCACCATAACTTTATCCTCTTGGGGTTGATATTTGACTTACTCTTTTCTCACTCTCAAAGGTTTAAAAAAAAACCCCTTGCATCTGGTACTTTACTGCTGCAGGAGTGAACTTGCTAATGCCAAGAAGTTTAACAAGATAGGTGGCTGAGAGCCACTTCAAGCTTTCAAACTCCTCCCTGTGTGAAGTGAGGAAACACTGACTCCTGGAGCCAAATGAATTTTCTCCTGCTTGTCACCCAAACAGCCACCACCATCACCTGACCCAGGGCTGGGCTACATCACCTAGAGGCAGTTCATCATCCCTTCCTCCCCGATGACAAGCTAAGCATACAGGACTTGGCAAACTGGACATTTGTACAACAAAATTATATTCTATTTTCTGCAGTGCATACAAAGAAGATAAGGGTTTCTTTAGGAGATCAGAGCTGGTCAAAGCCTATCTCCTTGAAGTAGCAGAAAAGTAGCTCAAGCAAGGAAGTAATATGAGAAATCTTTCAGAAAGCAGAAAGGCAGGTTTCGTAAGCGTGTCCACTCCAACAAGCTCTGGACAGCACAATCACTTCTAAATGTTTGAGTGCTGGGACTTGAAACAGTTTATTCTCTAAAATAACAACTGATACATTGCTTTAAAACTCAATTCCTCTTCACTCTGGCAGCGGTTTCTGTCAGCACCACATAGTGCCACCTGCAGCAGATCCAAGGTGTGAGATTTTAACTCTTCTTGACGTGAACTCTAAAATTTTACTGTGGATGAAGCTTCAGCACAGAGCTTTCAGCCCCCAGCACATTCCTAGCATTAAGTATGAGGGCATAAGTTAGAGCCAGTGTGGGGTTTTTTTATATTTTGAGTAAGATGAAATTGTTGCCAGTCAAGTGAGGGCCAGGTTGGCACCTGGGAGGCAATGTGGGATTTCTTCAAAGAGCCATAATGTTTGTAAACACAGTCAGTGCATAGGGCATTTCACTCTGAGCAATAAAAACTGGTCCTAAAGTATCTGAAGCTGTTCTGTAACAGAGAAATTAATTCAATAATTTAGTGAGAAAGCAATAATGAAGATACATAGCAGAAAGTAAAACGTATTTTAGTTGCTCTCACATCACATAAGAAAAACATTCCCTGTGTCTTCTAACTCCATAATCCAAGAGGTGAAGTAACTGTCTCTCATACAGACAAAAACTTTAAGGCCTGGAGTAGCAAAATAAACCCATGGATTAGGAATGGTACACACACATCTGTCTGGGTTTTTTTGTTTGTTTTTTAAAAGAAAATCCCAAGATGACAAGAGCTGTTGTCTGGAATGTAGACACAGTGTTTTCAGGTTTAAAATACAGTGCAAAGTCCATTTTTAAAGGGACAATGTCAGGCAAGAGAACTGGAGCTGTCCAGTTCAACAGCAGAAAGCCTGGCTGAGTGTAATTCTTGCTACTGATGCTCTGTTGCATGTGTTGCTTTGTTTGGGCTGTGAAGCCACACCAGCCAGTCTCACTGTTTGGCTCTGTGTGCATTCACAGGCTGTCTTTATTTGACAATTTCAGCAGAGTTTCTTAAAACAAAATAAATATGAGAACATATTCTTTACTCAAGGTCTGAAAAACAAATATTGCAGCTATAAAGTACAAGGTCTGAGACTGAGCCTGTCAGTGTCCCTTTAAACACAGGTAATCTCCACCCCTCCCCAGTGTACCTGCACAGCCTCAGAAGGCTTAAAAGGGACTTAAGAACATAATTATCCTGTGGCACATTGAGGGGAGAACATGAAACAGCACAGGCACAGGCTGGGACAGAAACCTCCATGGGCAACATCTTTAAAGGCAGCTGTACCTGATACATCCATGATCACTCAACTCAGTTTCTACATTCAGCAGCAGGTAAATGTAGAGCAAATACTCTCAAGGTTAACACAGCACTGACATCTCTTCTGCTCACCCAGGTCCTGCTGAGTGATAAGGACTTGTAAAGTGAAACAGTGGTGTGAAAAGAGTCCCTTTGTGTAGAAAATCTTCTTGCTGAGACAGTTTCTATAGAGAGCCCAGTGCTTCTCCAAAGCGGATTTTCTGTCCGGCTTTGAGGTTGAATTTGAAGTCCTTGGGTGCCTCAAAGATTAGGACAATTGTGGAGCCTAAATTAAATTCCCCTAAATGTTCCCCTTTCCTCATGGGGATTCCCTCCTTGTTGTTGTTGGATATGAAGCTGAAGTCATTGTAGGAACCTTTAGAGTAACTTGGACTGTTGGTGTGCAAGTCCTGTACAGAGAAGGAAGAAACTGTTACTTGAGGATTTCAGTGTTCATTACCACAGCTGCAGACTGCACATGCTCAGGCATTTTCAATGCAAGAACTCACAATTCAAACGTGCAACAGAAATATTAAAAAAATAGTCTATACTGGCGATGATGTTTAAATCACTCTTAGAACATCAGTACGAGAAACACTTTAATTTCAGGGTAATAAGGTTTATTTTTTTTTTTGTAATTCTGTTATGCTGTGCCAACCTCAACCATCCAACCCAGAAAGCTGCTGCTACAGCCCCGCTCACCTGGTCGAAGTAGATGCGGATGGAGCCCACGTTTGTCGCTCCTACAGCTGTCAGTGAGAAGAAGCCGTGCTTCCAGTCACCTGTGAGGACAACCCGCTCGTTGTGGCAGAACAGCTCCTTGATCCAGCGAGCAACGCCGGGATTCACAGACATCAGAGAGCCTGGAGAAGTGAGAAAATATTCAGGTTAGGTTGTCTGGTTTGTAGCAGCATTGTAATGCCACACAAATGGTGTTTTCAGTATAAGTGTAGCAGCTGATCCAGTCAACAACTGTCACTTGTTTGTAGGAAGAGAGGCAAATGCTTGGCAGAGTGAATGAAAGAGAAGGCTGTGGTGAAAACAAAGGGGTCACAGAAAAATGTGTGTGGCAGGTCATGTCTCCCTCTCAGGGTGTTTGAAACCCAATCCAAATACTTAGGTTTTTGCCACACACCAAGACGTAAAATGTTTTTATCTGCTTAACTAGAGTATGACGGTGTGCAAAACCTTCAATCCCAGCTCCAGCAGTGCAACTGTTTAGTTGCATTTTCTTTGCCAAGCACAAGCAGAGATCACACTTTAGGCTACTGTCTGGTGTGATCTGCAGAACTATCTGTATTTCAGGTGCAAACTGAAGAAACAGTGTTTGGGAACAAATCAGGTCAGGTACTTCAAAGAACTCAAAGAGCTTGAACACAATATTACTGTTTGCTCCATTTATATGTGACTTGTCCTGGTAAAGCACACTGCTGTAATACTCATCAGTGATTTGTGACAAATCACTTTGCTGCCATTATCTATCATATGTCTGCACAACTGCTGCACTGCTGTGTCATTCAGCAGTGGCCATACCAGTGCTTCCCTCCAAAGCTGCTTCCCAGGAACAGAAACCAACCTGGGAAATGCCGTCGGTGCGACACTGTCCAGTCGGTGGGCGAGTGGAAGCAGTGATAGTCCCCTGGAGCAAGGTAGATCACACAGTGGTACAGCTCATTCCCCTCTTTGGTGACCAGTTGTTGCTGAAAAGAGTTACCAGGTGGGGCTGCAGAGAAAGCAGGGAAAGGAAGGGGTTAGAGATACTCTTCCCTCAGTGTGGGTGAAGCAGAGCAGTAATAGCACCAGTCAGTCATTAGAGGGTCAGGGCTTGAGCATAAATCTTTTTAAGGGGGAGCTTATAGAGTTTTTGGTGTCCAGGTGCTTGGGCCTGTTTTAGTGTGACAGTAGGAGTGCTCCAGCATCAGCACAGTAACAGAACTTGGGAGTCAAGGGTAGGAACCATGCAATTAAATTCAGATAATCAGAATGAGTCTGGCACAACACTATAAAGCCACTGATGAGAAAGAGAAGAACTAAAACAGTGGTATGTTCATCCCCCTCAAACCCCCCCCCCAGAAATCAGGCCTGCTTTTGTTCCTGACAATGCAGGAAAGAGAAGGGGGAGAAAGAGAAGGGGGAGGAAAAGTGATTTCTTTTCTCATGATCTCCAAGAACACAGAAAGGGCAGAGCAGAATAAATGCAGAACTGACACAGAACTCACTCTGACTAAAATGCAGTTCCTCTGTCGAGACACGAGGTCCCAAGAAAGACTCCAGAGAATAAGTGACCCCTTTTACTTGCTCCACTTCACAGTTTTTTACCTGCCCGAAATTCAGGATCTTTCCATCAGAGGGACTAATCTACAGTGAGGGGAAAGAAATGAAACACATTAGTTCCTTCCTTTCTTCCTTCCTCCTGAAGCAGTGCTGTTCCCCTGGGGGTGAGGGGAGCTGGCAGAGCTGTGCAGAGCCCTCCCCTCACTCCCCATGCATCACTCACCACGCTGTGCACGCCGCACACCGGCCGCGCTTGCGGCTTCAGCTTCCTGCGGAAGAACTCGCTGAGGTTCCTGTAGTGGTGCAGATCCTCCACAGCCGCCTCCTTCATGTTCACCCCGAAGGTCCAGATGTACAGGCTGTACACGGGCTTACGGAGCCACGTGGGCAACTCCACCTGGTTCAGGCGACCCCAGGCCCGCGAGAGCAGCCGAGTTGGTACCGACTTGTACAGGGCAACCTGAGGAAAGAACGGCACCGGGTCACTGAGGGCTTCTCCCCAGGCCACAGAAGGGATCACACCTCCTGCAAACCCTCCCCTGAACTGTGGGTTACACCACGCACCAAGTGGCCTTCAAGTCAGCACAAAATGAGCACTGCGCTTCATCCTCACTGCCTCCATTCTGGGGAGGGCAGAGAAGGGACAGCATGAAAATCACTATAACCTTACACTGACGACAGAACTCCCGCTGCCCTGCAGGCTGAAGCTCCACATTCAAGTTACTGGAAGCTGCCCATGTGAGGCTTAGAGAAAAAAAGAGACATTGCACATATTCTAGTAGAATGTTAATCAGAAAGGTTTAATTACCAAATTTTTGTGAATAACCAAATGCAAACTGACTGAAAAATAATGTCCCAGTGTTTGATGACCTGCTCCTCAGATGCATTTACTATGAGGGTGTTTCTCACATCCCAGTCCTGTATGTTGTGCTGCTCCAATGACACCAGTCCCATCGAAGAAATGCACCCAATGGATGCAGCTACACTGGCATAAACTTACACCAGCCTTACTCCTTCTCTCATGACAACGGGAGTTGCTAATTGCAAGAGTATTAAGTGCCTTTATTTCTGTAGAAATATACCTTTGGACTTAAAATAAGCCTGAGTTTTAGTAGCAAGGAAAACAAATGAAATGAACTTGGCAAGAGGTATCTGCTGTTGATGATGTAAGTGGACAGATGACAGCAACTTGTTGTTGATAATTCCAGCAGACAACTCTTCTGGGGTTTGTGGTACTTCCTGTCAGCCAAAAAGCTCACATGGCCATGATGTAATTGGGCGGGGCTGGAGGATGTGAACCAAAGGAACTGAACACTCTGAAACCAGTTTTGGAAAAGAACTGGTGGTTTGCTGACTCTAGTGCTGTGTTTTTGAACAGTACAGCTCAGCTACATTCAGCTGAGCTAAAAGTTGTTGGCTTTTTTCCTTAGTGAGAGTCATCATTTATTCTTAATATTAATCATATCCTTCATAATTAAGTCTTGCAAAATACAGCCATAAACACAGACAGAACACACTGACTCAGAGCCTGTCCATCATATAAAATACAGCAAATTAAGATTTCACTTATAAATCACCATCCCATGTACATACAGTGATATTTCAGAATGAAAATACCAACCTAATCTTACTTCAGATAAAACCCTTCTAAATAAACAGTACCTTGGGTTTTATAAGCTGACCTTATACAGTGTTAATTTCTAAAATAAATTTTGCTGTTTTCCACCAACACGGAGAATATGCAGATAGAACTATAAAATCACACAAATTGTCAAAAGTGCTATTTCCTAATAACCCCTTCTCTTCCAAAGAACCTTGTTTTCAAGTTCATGGGATCAAACAGAACGGCTGTTCAATGAAATAGTCTTAAGAATGGCAATTTTGTTGCAGTTTTCAATCAAAATATTTGTGTGGTTGTTGCATTCTGAAATGGCATGATTTGTGGGGAGAATAACCACGTGCAAGGCACCCACGCCCTGCTCTCAACAGCGTCACAGCAGAGCTCTGCACATCATCTCGACAGGCTGGATTACAAACGTTCGAGGAACTTGAGGAACAAACCCTCCCTGTGCAAAAATAACAGAAAGCAAGAGACCATTCCAACGTGGCCAGGAAAGGGAACTTGCCAAGAGGTTTGGTCTGCCTTGTCCTAGCCCTGAACCTGTGAGGTGACTGAATTCATTCAAAAGTTTCTGTTGATTTTCCCTGACTGTTACAGGACAAATTCTCTGCTACTGAAAAAGTCACTTGTCTGTGAAGCAATTAGTCAGCACACCTATGAACAGTAAGAACTAAACAGAAACATGAATTGCATCTCTGCTTTCACACCAGTCATCACCAGGCTGCCCTAACTGAAGGAATTCTCCCCCAGGTGCTGCCTGCAGCACCCCCAGCTCAGCCCCGACGCGCAGACCTGCTCACACTTACCCTGCTCATGGGCCTCCATCCCACTCTGGTCAGGGGTTTAAGGGCACCGAAAGGCAGAAGGTAATAGAGAATAGTCAGAGGCCAAGAACGGAGTTTCAGAGCAGGCCTAGACATACAGCTCAGCTGGCCCAACCTCCGCCTCAGGGCCAGCTGGGGAAATTGCAACCTGAAAAATTACACACAACAGCAGAGGGTCAGGCATCTCAGCTGCAGAGCCACCAGCTCCTGGCAGCTGGGCACGACTTATTCCTGCTAAACGTTACTTAAACATTGATTCTGCAAGTCTCTACTCCTTTATTTTGATCAGTTCTTTGCCTTCCCAAAACAGATGAACAGTTTATCTAAAAAAACCCCAAAAAAACCCAAAAGAAGAAAAATCCTCTCTCCAAAAGATGGTGTTCACTGCACAGGTCACATTTTAGGAATAACACCCTCAAAAATGAAAGGCAAGACCACTTGCAGGTGGCATTTGAGAACTAAGTTACAGGTGGTTCGTCGAAATAATAACATGAGAATTTAAGGAAATAACAAAGGACAAAGGTGCTTCTTCCAAATATCAGAAGATTACAACCCTAGAAAACATTTCTTGCAACTGCTCCAGCTGTTGGATAGCCAAAGTGGGCAGCAAACAATATTCTGGAAGCTGGGAATCTGTGATGCTGGGACTTCAACAACTCTACAAAGGGACAATTTTATGGAAAGAACAGATACTTTGATGAAAGAAATCTCTGAAACCTAATAAACTGAGGTCCCTCAGAGGGTTCGTGCATTGAAGGCGTATTGACTAGACTGTGCCTCAAGTTGCCAGGGATGCTGGAGTCAAATTTACAGACCTGGTGGTCACTCACTAACTTTAGGAAACAAGTACTTGAGAAACAACAGGAGTGGCACTCCTGAGATAGTTAATACAATTTATGAACCTTCCTTTAGTACCCTGGTTGTGAACAGGGAACATATGGACAAAGCCAATATTGTTACTGCTGCAAGACAATCTGGTCTCCATAGCCCAATAATCAACTCCTCTGCCTCAGAACCAACTGCATCTCTGATTTTTTTGTCACATGGATGTCCTGAGAGGGGTCTCCTTTTGCACAAATGGCTATGGGGAGAAGTTGACCTTGTAACTCTCAGGGGGAAAAGCTACTCAGCTTATTAGAGCCCATTCCAGGCCTCAGCTCAGGCCCTTGCAGGAGGTCTGGATGCAAGGCCCTTCAGGTCCCCATTTATTCTTTGGCTTCTTCTCATGAAGAAACCATTGGCACTTCCAAGGTCACATTATCAAATGGAAGTCTGCTCACCTGAGGGCAAACTATTCAAACCTGGCACTGACTGAACTCCTGGCTAGTACACTGTTCCCCTGCAGCCAGGACACAGTGATGTGCCCTCACAATGCCCTCACAAACTCGAGTGGGATGGCCTAGCTGCTCCCAACAGCTCCCTCTCTCAAGGGATTCTGTGACATGAAGGGTGAACTACAAAAATAGTGCCTACGTCCTTCCAAGATAGAAAAAAGCTGAGAATTTAAAGAATTTTCTTGCCAACTCGTTCTTTCCAGAACTTGGACCAGAATTAAAATACCATGCAGGCAGGTATGACTGTCACCACTCTGGGATGCAAGATGGTGCCTTTGGCTCAGAGATTTTTTTCTGCAGTGAACACAACTTCTTTCCCCCCAAGAATTAATAAATAACAAACAGAGAATGACCTGTGCATCACCATGCAAGGGGTAAAAAGAGCCCTGAGCAAAGTGTTGTCTCAGCACAGTTAAAGCCGCTTCTCAGCAGGAGATGGGACTGCCATGGGAATAGGAAGGGACACTTCACATTCTTCCTCCCATCCTAACCCCCCCCAGCCTGCCAGGGCTGGCGGGGCCGGGAGCCGGGCTGGGTCCCCCTCCTGCTGCTCTCCCCCCCTTCACTGCAGTCGCTCCTGGACCAATCCCTGCAGAGCTGCATCGCTCCGGAGCCCTCGGGCTTCTCACTGCCTTGGCCTGGTTTCAGAGCGGCCCCTCAACTAATTTTTCCATTCTCCTAGTGATGGAGAGGAGAAAGGAAAGGAATGAAAGCCTCCTCATCCCCCTTGCCGTGGAACAGCCTGCCCTTCTCTGCCGGCAGTGCATAAGGAGCTTTATAGTAATTAGGCCAAACAAAAGCTTCGCAGATGGCTCCCGCTCCTCCTGCCCAGACACCCTCCCGGCCTCCCTCCCCCTCAGTCACCATTCCTGCAAAGCACAAAACACTGAACAGTACCTGAAACGAGTTCTCCTACTTGGTGTCCCACCGGCAGAGCCAGTCGGGCCTGGGCTCTCCAGCTGTGGGTGCTGGTCCCCGGCACAGCTGCTGCTGCCGCCGTTCCCTGAACGCAGCCTCCGGACATGGATTTTAACTTTGTGGAGGTTGTAGCAAGAGGGTGGAGGGTTAGATAAAGCTTTATAGCATCTCACCATTTCCCTGTGTGCAGATCTGGTCCCTGCAGGGTGTTTGACTGACACATCATCAGGTGACGGCTGTTGCAAGGCTCAGTCTTTTTTCCTCTACCTCTCTTTCCTTTGCTTGCTCCGGCACAGGAGAGAGGACACGGCGTCACAGTTCCTAAATCCCCCGCTGGTTTGTCTCTGGATTCCCTCTCTGTTTCCCACTTGAATCTCTGCTACGAGGGTTGCAGCTATTGCAAACAAACAGGCATCGTGTCATATTTCAACATCCCACTACAAAGCCGACTCTGCACAAGACAAAGGCGAGCTGTCCATATGAGCAGTCCTTGCTTCTCACTAGTCGGGGTGGCCATTGAAACCAACTCCCCCAAAAGCCCCCTGCAGTCCCGGCCTGCTGGGCAGCAACGCACCAGTGAGGGGAGCAGCCAGCTGGGCTCGTACAGCTCATCCCAGCGCAGCCTGAACGCGAGGCTGGGAGGAGGAATGGGGCGGAGAGGAGGAGGAGACAACCCCCAGCTCCAATTCTGCAGTGCAGCAGCTGCCGCTGAAAGAGTTCCGGACTGATGGGCATCAAAAATCCTTCCCTGCCCTGAGTGTCCAGCTTGGGAAGGAAACAGAAAGGAAAGGAATGGCTCTCTATCTTACAGCCCTTGCCAGGCACAAACATCCACCTCCTGAAGTCTTTTTTCATTCCAAAAGCCTCACACAGGGAGCAGGTAAAGGGCATTCTTCTACAACAGAATACAAACAACCAGATCCATACAAACCAAGCCAGTCTTAGGGCCAGCTTGAGAACTGGGTATAAAGTTATGTGTCTATTATGTGACTCTCAGCACTGTCACTGTTTTATGCCCTGTAGAAATAAAACACAAAAGAGGAGTAAAGGAAGCTGTTTAGGTTTTTAAAGACAGTGTTTCTATCTGAGCATTCTAAATGTACATAAAGAAATTTCCCTCTTTGACCCTGCAGACTACATCTCAAAATAGAGATTTTCTGCTTCTCCTGTGACTGGATTTGGATTGTTAAGGGAGCCTGAAACCAGCCCCCTGGTTCAGAAAGTAGAAGTCAGGTATCTACATCTCACCTCAAGATTAAACTAACTACCCAGAACAATTTCAGGGCTAAGTCTCTAATGGCTCTATTTCACTTTGGTTTTCTGCTGAAGTCTGTGTTTAAAACAAAACAAAACAATTCCTTGTTTCCAAAGCTTTCTAAGCACCATGAAAGCTGTGTGCCTAAGAGGGTAGATCAAAAAGAGCACTGCTGCTCTGATTGAGGGAAAAGGTTGTATTGTATTAGGGATAAGGCAGGAGTGGTGGGAGGACCAGCAGGAAAAGCTAGAATTAACTAGCTAATGGCATCCCACTCACGCCTCAAAAAGAAAATATTCTAGCAGTAATTGTGTATTTTGATTGGCCTTCAACTCCAAATATTACAAATACTCCCTAGAAATACCTCTGGAGATCCTGCATTAGAGTATTTTTTTTCAGGAAGAAAACTGCTCTATGGTATTCTGTAAGACCTGTGTTGTTGTTTAAGATGAATTTTAACAATTGCATAGTATAAAAAAAGTCAGCTAATTGAAAGAAGGCATATTTAAGATTAACTGAGAGCACTCAAAACATACTCCTTCCTCCCTGAGCCCTGTGCCAACTCTTTTTGTTTTCCTATTTAAAATATCATTCAGACTTTCTCTGGCTGGCACAAGAAACTCCTACACAACAAAAATGAAGCCATCTGTCTAGTAAAATGATGAAAGTAGTTACCCAAAATCCCACCAAAATCCAAAGAAAAGCAACGAGGAGCACAGGGGAGCTATTTCTCTTGATTTACCAGGCACATTATAAACTACCACCACTTCATTTTAAACAGCAACAAACTAATTTGACAACATTGTTTCAGAAGACACTTCATCAGGCCAAGATGAGAATCATTTTCACACTGAATACACGCATTCACTGAACTGTGGGGAGAGACTTTGACTGGCCCTGGTGGAGCAGGGCAGGAGCAGCAGAGTCCCCAGCCCACAGCTGGGCTGGCACCCTGCTCCCAATCCCACCTCCTCCATGCAGACCTTCACCCTTGCAGGACTCTGCCCAGAGACAGCAGAGCAAACACAAGCCTTATCTACACTCCCTTCAGTACTCTTCCCTTTTAGGGAAGCTTTTTCGGTAAAATTCTATCTTACCCCCCAAAACATTTTCAAGCAGCTATTATATTCTAGACTGAATAAGCCTGATTCTGTGAAAGCATGGAAGAAGCTGAATGTCTGAGCTGCTCCCTAAAAACAGGCACTGAAATGTTCTGCAGCCCAACGCAGTGGGAAGTACCACACTTCAGTCCAAAGCAAAGTGCAAGAGAGATTCCTCTCCAGGAAGGGAGAATCATTGCTATTAAAAGCTTTTTCTTCTCCACTTCTTAAAAAAATCTGAGCTCAGTTGAGTGAGAAGTTTCTCTTAAGTTCTGTTCTACTGCCCCCATTACATTCACCAGGATGCCAGTGCCTGAGTCCTGCTGAAATGCTGACACACGTGGCAAGATGCCATCCCTGCTGTGGCTGCCCCAGAAGCAGCGTGCAGTTCCTACAGGGTAAGAAGGCTGAAAGGAAAAACCCACCCTGAGTTTATCTGCTTCCCATGGGGAAAAGAACAAGAACTGGTCATCAGTCAGCTTATGACAGAGGAACTCACAGAATGGCATCTCAACAGCCAGACCTCTCAGGATGCAGGCAGTGCCCAAAGCCTGTCATCAGCTTACAGCAGATTCTTACAATTGTCAGTTTGTAGGAGGTTGGACACCAGCACCAAACTGCCCCACCCGCCTGAACTACTCCAGAATCCCCGTTAGGTAAATGAGGCAGCAGTTACCAGCAGGTATCAATCCCTGGAGAATTATTATCTCATGTAGAACTGCTAATCTGCCAGCTATGCAACACCGTTCTGCTCTGTCAGCTCAAATGAGCGTCAAATCCAGTGACCTCATTTAATTAATTGTCATTACCACCTCAAGCCCTTCCCTCAAGTTTTAAAAAACAGCAAGGCAATTGCAAAAAAAAGACTAATATGCAACTGAACTTCAAACCTGCAGCCTCGGTTTAACTGCAGGCATGAATCATTAGGCTTGGAATGCGGCGGTCGGGATGCTCAAAGCCCGCTGGTCACACTTTCTACATTTGGTAACGGAACTACTGTTCAAAAAATGCATGGAAAGCATCCCAGTGTTGTATTCAAGCGCCAGCAAAAATACGGTCTTGTACTGAGGGGCGAAGCCCTCGCTGACCGTTTGTTAAAGGTCCCGTTCCTTTCCCAGCAGTGACTGTTTAACTCCAGACACATCGTCCCTGCTCCCACCCAGCAGGAGGAACACCGGATGCTCCACACCCCAGTCAGGAGGCTCCCGAGCGCCGAGAGCACAACAGAACTGCCCTGATGCTGCCGGGAAACCTGAGCGCTCTCCGAGCCAAGGGCCGGGATTGCCGGGCAGCGCCTTGGCTCCCGGCTCTCCGGGAAGAGCCAACGGGACCGGGACCGCTCCCCGCGTACTTCCCGGCGTTGCTTCAGCCACCCTTCGTGTCTGAAATTCTTTACTTCTCACACGAAGAAGCCTTTCTTTATATTTTCTCTTCATGTATTATGAAGAAAATTCTGATTGTTTCCCCCTAACTTTACATTGCTGTTTCAGGGATTGTTTTTGAACCTTAAACCTGATTTCCGTGCAAAAAGCCTGTTCTACAGTCGCAAAGATCTCTTCTGTGAAACAAGGAGAAGTTTTATTTACTTTGCAAAGCGACGTGAAAATTGATGGCACCCTTTTAATACTTCGTAGTAATAATTTCCGATTCATGGTCTAGAACACCACCCCCAGCACTCCCCCCCGTTATTTTAGCCTAAGGTCTCGGCAGAGCCAGCTCTGGGGCCCGCACAGGCTCTCCGAAGGAAGCAGCAGCCCCGCTCCATCCTCCGCACGGAGCAGCGCCCGGCGGAAGCTGCGCGAAGGCTGCGGCGGCTCCTCGCCCCCCGCCCTCCCCGCGGGACTCTGGACTCAGAGAGCGCAGGTTCAGGAGACTCATTCTCTTTACATCTACTCAGGGATTACTCATGAGAGAGACGAGACTTTGGAACATCTCTCCTGAAACTTCCAACAGGCCACAGACCGGCGGTGAATCACGCTTGGCCGCCAGCCCTCGCACATCTGCCCTGCGGTCCCGCAGCCCTTACCTGATGCCCAGGGAGGTCTCCTCCGTCTCGCCTTTTCGCCTCCAACCGCCGAAACGCGGCACCGACCCTTCCTTCCAAAGCAGTTTTCAGACACGTGAACAAAGCAGCGGAACGCGAACCCCCCCTCCCGCCGCCCCCGGGGCCCCTTCTGCCCCGGGCAGGGCAGCGCAGGGCGGCTGCAGGTCCCCACCTACCTCCCGGCGACGGCACAGGGTCCCCCGACCCGCCACCCGCGCTCCGCTCGCTCCTGGCCCGGCCCGGCCCGTCCTCGCCTTAAGGAAGCGGCGGGGCCGGCCCTGCCCCGCCTCGCCCCAGCCCTGCCCGCAGGGCCCCGGCCCCTTCGGAGGAGGGGCCAGGGCAGGAGAACCGAAAAGGAAGAGCCCGGAGGGTACCGGGACACGGCGGCACCCGCGGGACAAGGGGCTGCACAGCGAGGGTCGGGGACAAGGAGAGCCCGTCATCAGCCGCTGGCCCGGACAGCGGGAAAGCGGCTGTGTCTGGGAACAAGGCAGCGGTGCGGGTGCTGTACATCGCACAGCTCCCGAGAGCGCTTCCCACCGCGTGTCCCAGGGCGGGAACACAATCCCACACAGGCAGCGGCAGCCAAAGCAGCAAAGTGTGCTGCAGACTCATAAACTGCTCCCCGAACGCTCAGGTAAATCGCTCCATAATCCCACAAGATGCTCAGGAAGTTGCACGAGATAGAACAGACCCATCTAGTCAAAAGCAACCCCACTGGTCAGATTAAAAAAACAAACAAACTGATTTTACTAGGTTCAATTTTCCAGTACAGCTGAGAAAAACATTTGCACCATCACACCCTTCACACATTTTGATGCTGTCGAAATGTCACCACTTTCAACATTTTCTGACCACCTCTGTTGTGGGCTTCGGGTCACTCTATAAGAAGATTTTTGTATTTGCATGTTTGCTCCAATAAAACTCCAAACATCACAACCCAAGAGCAAGAACGAGGAGTAAGAGACCAACCAACTGGAGATTATGTTGGATTAAAAAAAATAATCAGATACTCTTCCATTATTAGCTCTTTCCTGAACTTGATACACACCTCTTACCATAATACTAAATGTCTCCCCTGGGCCAAAAAAAGCACTTTCTGTATTGTATTGCCAAGAGCTCCAGTATCCTCTTACATAAATACAAGCACTTTCTGACATCAGTAGGAAAAACTGTTGTTTTTACCCCTGAGAGAATCAAGATCCTAAACCTGTCCTCAAGCACTTCCTTGCTGTATTAAGCTGTTTTCCAAAACTGTGGCCCGTGACAATAAATTGCAGTTGGAACAGGACAGAACTGTGATTTAATCCCTCATCTGTATTATCCGCTGTCACAGCAGCTCACTTCCCTACAGGAGCACTGGGCTTTTCCTGGCACATGTCACTCCAACAAATGCTGCTCTTTGCTTACACGAAACAGAAAAACTATGGAAGCAAAGGACACCTACAAGAAGTTCCTCTCTAAAGAAACTCTTGTTCATCTGGTCACTCTGTTCCACCAAACTCACCCTATTGCCAAGGTTTCCCAGAGTGATTCTTTGATCCTGTATCGAAACTGCCCCACGCCGAGGTGAGGAGAGGCAAAATGGCTCTAGTTAGCATATGAATGACATGCCAAGCATGCAGATCCCAGCCAGGAAACGTTCTGTGACAGCACGGATTTGGAACAATAAGCTTCCGTTCATCTGATAAACATCTACCTGTCTCCCTCCAAGCCCTCTGCTCTACCTCATCTAATTAAATGAAAGCTGATCTCCACTGGTATTCCCAGTAGGAGACACTAAGGCCTTAATCAGCTCAAGCTATTAGCAACATAATGTCTCTAAGAAAATTACAGGAACAAAAGGTCCGTGCTGAAGAAACAATAGTTCTGTCTTTCCCTGTGGAGAAACTTAAGGGACACTTGACTTGAACCAGATTCATTTTTTCCCCCCATTCCTTTATACATCTCAAGCAAAACAAAGCTATCCAGAAGTGTAACTCACTCTAATTCAATCCAAACCCATCCACAGCTCTGTGAGAATCTCAACATGTATCTCTGCAGCAGGAAGAGCTTCCCTGCCTGCACAACAGGGTGAGGATTACCCATTTCATCTCTGTCTTCTGCTCAGAAGCAGGAGACCTGCCTTACACACAGAGCTGGCAGGTGGGAGATGGTCCTTATTGCCACAGGAACACCAGATTGGTACAGCAGAATCAGAACTTCAGAGCAGCACCCTCAGCAGGGAGGGCACCTGCAGCAGTTTCTTGTTCTGTATTACTCTTTCACAGCCCATTCAATCACACTTGGTCTCTTGTTGCCTATGCAAAGGCTTATTCTGTCCTAAGAACAAGGCAACACCCCTCTGCCACATTCCTAAGTGTGCTTCCAGTGATGCAAAAAACCAGAATAATGGAAATTGATAGGTCAGCAAAAAAGACACTCCACTTTTCAATAAAAAGGAACAATGCAGCTCTTATTTTTCTTGAATCCTCCATTGTTTGGAATATTTCCTACAATGTCTGAACAGTTTCTCTTTTTCCTCATAACTGTCAAGCTTCCTTTCCCTCCCACAGAAGTATTCAACAGAACTTAAGCACATCAGGAAGGACTGGGACATCTTGTTAGCATCTCCTACTGGGATCTGCTGCATTTGGGGCTCTGCCTATCAGTTTAGAACTCTTTGTGTGATTCCCCACTGTAAAAACCACATCCTTTAGAGCTGGTTCATCAAAAGCAGTACTCACAGCTTCACCAAATAATAAGAAACCAGCATATCAGTAATGAAAAAAAGCAAATTTAATAAGAGAAATAACCAATTTCATACCTGAAAGTATGAACAATACCAAAAGAATATTTGTTTTTGAGTATCAAAATTGAATTGATATTGCCTTGTTACATGAATACTCCACGGACACTTACCAGTTCTTTTTTAATCAGAACCCGTTTGAAACAAGCTTCATCAGGAAAAGAATATACAGAGGAGAGACTTACAGACAGATTTCTCAGGAGCTACCACAGCCTAAGCTGTTGGCATCTGGACTGTCTGGGTCATATCTGATTTGGGTCTCTAGTGAAAATGAATTCAGAGATTCCAGCCCAGTCCCCCACAGGCATGTGGCCAAATCACTCACACAGGCAGTGTGCTCAGGAATGCAAAGAAATGGGATGCTAAAGGTCACACTGAAGCATCTCCTTACAATCCTAGAATTTTTAACTCCTTGCCTTCAGAAATGGCACTGAAGCAGGCACTCACCTGGCTGTTAGGAAGAACATCATATATATTTTGAACACTTTAAACTTGTGGGAAAAAAACCCACATATACAACTCTTAACATAGAGTTGTAAATTATATTTAATATTTCAGAGGTGATACAGCAGTTGTAGGAAGTCATGAAGTATTTCTTACTTCAATGCTGCAATGGGTATTTGACCTGGGAATCTGACACACACACACACTGCAATTCCACAATAATTTCTAAACTCCTTGGAATCCAGAAGGAAAAGGTAAAAATCCCTCAGGATCAGCAGGAGGCACTACAGACCCAGGTGTTACCTATGAAAAGAGGTCTTGCTGTATATTCATAGTGGAAACAGGTAGATTTTTATTAACCAGGTATTAATTCCATCTCCTTGTAAAGTATATATGGTGTCAGCCATACTAAAAGATGGAGGAGTCACTGGCAGTTCCTAATGTTCCTCACCTCAGCCAAAATGAGTTCTTTAAGTGACAGAAACTTTAGTTCCATGAGGCATTGGCAGTAGAGGACGAACTCAAGATTCCCTTGTTGGAATGGAAGCCAAGGAGCTTTGCA